GGCCAAGCCGCTGCTGGACCTGAAACTCCGGTGACAGGTGCCGCACTGTGGAGTGACCGGGTTGCCGGGGTGCTCGATGTTGGGAGCAGGTCCGTGATCGCACCGATGGGTAGCCAATCCACAGGGGCTGCGGAGCCAACGTTGGCAGAGACGACACTGGCAAGCGCCAGTCTGATTACACACTGGTTCCTGCCGTTCTGCCAAGCATTTGTGACGCTTCTCATCTGATGGGCAAGAGAAGTACCGATCACATACTTGGCAATGGACATTGGGTGTGGGCGGTTCGGGCTAAAAAACAGCGGTACATGCGGCGCCAGTCGGGGCGAGAACCTGCCAGATCATACCATCCCTCCACAGGAGTCAGGGCTTTCAGGTCTGCACTAATGCAGTCCTTCCGGCGTTTGCGTGGACCGCCAGGTGGACGGCGGGATGGGAGCAGATCGAACAACAGGATCTTCGGGATGCGCTCTGGTGGCATACGAGCAACATGACCCAGCCACTCGGCCTCTTGGTCATGTTGCTCGCATGCCACCAGAGCGCATCCCGAAGATTATGTTGTTCGGTCTGCTCCCATCCCGCCGTCCACCTTGCGGTCCACGCACACCATTACACACACATACACCCACCCTCTCTCCCTTTTCTCCCATACACTCACATGTAGATGCCCAGCTCTATTCTCTATCATTCACACCGGAACTGCTGCTGCTGCATAGCCCCAAGTCTGAAGACTTGGCAACTTCACGCCTGCTCCTGACTCTTGCGCTATGAATAGTATGATACCCCTTTGATAGCTCTCACCGTTTCCCATCAAATCCCATCAAATTCACACCCCTCTCTCATGCAGACAGTATTCACACTTCCTTCTTACTTGACACTTCGGTTCTTCTCACATTCTCATTGGTGTTCTCTCTATCGCCTTGTGTTATAAAACAAGGCTCTTCTCGGCTGAGAGGGTGTGTTATTTCCAAGCTACGAATGCAATCTATTACACCCCTCAGAATTTCCCACTTTGCTCCCCCTTATGTACATTCTACCCGTTTTGGAGCCAGCAGTTGCCTGCTGATCGTAGTAATACGTGAAACTCAGAGTTGTAACAAAGCTTCCAATCTCTCTCTTGACAGGTTTTGTGTACAAGGCTCTGCCCTACGTGGGTATTGAGCACTCTTCGGACAGTGAAGCACACCACTTGATTTAATACGTAAGCCAAAGAACATCAATTGAACAATTTCAGACTACGGTAATAATACTATCTTTTTCGACGCACAAATTAAGCTTATGGATGCGCTAACAAATAGGCCATTATGATGTTCTTTGGTTTCTCGTGGCAGGGTTGTTGCCACTGTAATGTTTTTAAACATTACAGTGGCAACAACCCTGCCACGAGAAACCAAAGAACATCATAATACGTGTCGATGGCGTGCCCCCTGGCACTTTTCACTCACTGCAAGCCCCCCTCATGAGCCCAAAGCTTGGGGATCGAGATGGAAGGTTCAGTTTCAGCAGACAAAGTGTCAGGGAATGTCTATGATCAGACGAATAACACCCCTCCCACCCTCTTCTCTACGATTCGATGTCACCCAGATCAGAGAGGAAACCGATGTCAAGCTTCTCGGTGTGAAGTTTCGACCGCAAGCTGCTGTTCCGCAAGCATCTCCACCAGGATGCAGCAGAGCCAGCCAGTGACTCGGCTTCTTCAGCAAGGTGTTCCGACTGAACTTCCAAGTAATTCCCGCCTCAGTGTATAAGAAGGCTTCATTCGCCAAACTATGGAATATGCTCCAGTGGTCTGGCAAGCCGCAACCCGGTCCAACATCGCTAAGCGTTTCCGCATCCAGCAACGGTGCATGCGCAGAATTGGACCTAGGACCATGCTTCCTAGCTTTTCAGTGTGTCGGTAAGTCCGGGACTGTGTAACCTTTTCAGGCTGCACTACATTTCCGATCCAGCCCAGCTGACAGACATGCTGCGACCTGCATCCCAGAACCCGCCACCAACAGCAAGTGAAACACTCCTATGCCTTCCGGTTGGCAAACATCCTCCCCGCAACAAATCCTGATATCTTACACCGATTCTATCCATTCGGCCTACTCTTGAATTGTAATGCCCTACCCTCTGCCATCATGAACGCTCATCCATCAAACACAGCGCTGCAACGCTTTCCAGTACAAGTAAGTCCTCGAGCAAGCCTGTGGGACAGCTGTCGACGTGTACACCACAGACTAGCATACTGATTGCCCCAGGTGCCCGTAGTGGGCGACGATGTACTGAATTTTGGTCGGTGGAGTTCGCAACGCAGCTGCGCCAGTGGCTAGTCAACCTGGAATCAATAGTTGTTTGGTCTGTCAACCCTCAACGTCTGTAATCAAATCGTAGCTTCGTTATCCCTGCAACTTTGTTATCTTTCTTGTTACCCAATGCTGGGGACAGCAAGCTGTTTCGGCCATATAGGCCTCATCAGTATAGCTACGAGTTAAACAGACCGAGCTACCAGCCACGGTGCAAAGTCGGCACCACAGACATTAAGATAGCGTGTCGCTCTAGCGCCAGAGTGCTAAAACTACGAAAGGTAGCGGGAAATGCGTTCTTGTATTCTTTCTTGTTATCATTTTTTTGTCTCGAGCTGAGTTTGTGTTCTCCGCTTTCAACCCTGCCCATCACTCTTGAGAGCGAATCAGGGGAAATTTATTTATAGTGGAAATCAAAACAGGCAAAATGCCTAATAACATTGGACCCACTGTGAATAAAATGTTTTAAAAAGGATATTGTGGAAAACTACTATGATATGGATAGTGTGAGGTCGGTCAGACTGTCCTCTTTCATGGCATTTTGAAGAAGATCATATACAGGAGATGATATCGCTTCCCCACAGCAGGCAAGTGAAGGTAGTTTGCCCTGGAATTCCTTGCCTGAAGGCACAATGGAGTCCTCCATGAACTGCCCCAGCCTGCTACAGTTGTAATAAGCCTTCGCTGACCTACCTGCCATGTGCTACTGCAAGGAGGGATCTACATACTGACTACGACACGGCTGGAGGCACAGCAGCATGCAGAACGTCCATTATCTAAAATATGGAGCAGAGAATGCAGTGATAATTATGAATGTCATACCAAGCGGAGACATGTATGTTGTGTTCCAGAATGCAAAGCAATAACTGTTGACACTTGCATAAAGTAATTAACCCTGGATTGAACCAGACCGCCCAACAGCTGACTATCTGCCATCCACGCTCTGATCTGCTGGTATCGTACTGCAACAGACAATGTGCCTGTATGTATAACTAGACATTATACACCACTGCCACCATGTGCCAGGAGAACAGAGTGATCACCTCCTTCTTTTCCTTTTCTTTTCGACTTCTTGTTAAAAAAAAAGTTAATTTTTCCTTGCTGGCCATGGTTGGCTAAAACAACCCTGGAATCGCCGCGCCAAGTGGTCATTGGCTACGTCTGCCATGTATTGCTTGGACTAACCTAACCTAAAACTTTTAAAAAATGACCAAGGAACTACAAGCTAAGCTGTAATCTCCACTAACACCACCAAATACTGTACAATTAGCTCATACATCAACAATTGCATGACACTGACCGACGCTGCTCACGTTCTGTAACTAACTGGCATTGTTAGTGGATAGGATATCATACAGTAACTTGTTGGTCCTTGGACGTTTTCCGTGCAATAAATTCATGCTCGGCTCTCCATCCGAGTACATCCTAAAAGTAAAACTAAGAAATAGAACTGATCTGCGAACTGTGCTCATGCACTCAAACTTGCAATTCTTCATGCGAGCATATGCGTGCATGGCCAATAATACTGCTGGATTGGTTCGTATCGCCGATTTTCAATGTTTTAGGCATGCCACTCTGTTTGTTTCGCATCAGACGCGGCCCGATTTGCAGTCGCAAGACTAGATGCATGTCATTCCAGAAGTTGCATGCAGTGCTCATTTCTGATATCCAGACCGAGAGAAGTTCTCGATTACTTGCAAAATCCAACAAAATACCGAGGATAAGTCAAAGTACACAGCATCAAAATATTATGAACGTATTTTGAGGTACAGAGCAACAAATCCATCGCAGCACTTCTCCAGATGGTAAAGGCTATGCAATATAACAACATCGCAGCACTTCTATACTTCGAAGTAGATGATACAGGATATGCAAAATAACCACATCGCAGCACTTCTATAGATGATAAAGGCTATGCAAAATAACCACATCGCAGCACTTCTGTAGATGATAAAGGCTATACAAAATAACCTCATGGGAATGATGTTAGAAGCGCTTACCATACCTACTGGTCTTACAAAAATAAATATTATATTATTAGTATTGTAAAGTACAGCAACAGCGCAACGTCTCGCGAGAGCACCTCATCTTGATTTTACAGCTAGGGAAAGGAAAGAGCAAATCTTATGGCAGAGTGCATCGAAGTTCGTACGGTGTGAGAACCTTAGTGCACTAAGCTCACACTTAGCAGGCTTTTTTGTGGAGATCCTGTCCACTCGATGGTACGGATTGGCTGCACAACGTGCGTTCTGTGCACAAGGTTCGTGTCATATGACCTACAGACAGCACACCACTTCCACAATACGACCATTAAAGGAATGAGATCCAAATAATTATAAAAAGAATTATTTTTAAAATTTGAAACTCGGGTATTGAGCCAATAATAAAAGTAGAAAGGAAAAGGACATATGGAAACGAGTTTAGAGTAACTCTCCACCACTGTAACTAGATACTATATACAGTCAGAAAGTGCAACAACTAGGCACAAAACTGACAGAGTACTGAGACATTCGACGTCCTGACACCTAGCTTCAACACATCTCCGTAGCGCTAACCGACAGCCTTCCAACTTGGCTGTCGGTTAGCGCTACGGAGATGTGTTGAAGCTAGGTGTCAGGACGTCGAATGTCTCAGTACTCTGTCAGTTTTGTGCCTAGTTGTTGCACTTTCTGACTGTATATAGTATCTAGTTACAGTGGTGGAGAGTTACTCTAAACTCGTTTCCATATGTCCTTTTCCTTTCTACTTTTATTATTAAAATTATTATTATATTATAATTATGGGGTGGTCAGGCTGTACTATACGGTTAGTGGAAAGGAAGGGAAGTATCTGAGGGGAGAGCGGGGGTTAGGAATGTACCAACAAACACATCAACACCAATGAATACACACACTCACTCGTGCAAACACGCACAACAACGCGTTTTCGTTCACATGCACACGCAGACTGCTCGCTGGCAATGCCTTTCCAGAGACACATTGCCTCAGATCCATCATGGTAACGTGGAGATGAGTATAAAGTACAACTGAAGGTTGATTTGAGTTGGAGTTGAGCAACAAAAGGAACTACTTTCTTCACTGAGTGACTGCAGAGAAAGAAACAGACCAGGCACATTACATGTCAACTAACACGTCAGAAGCAACGTGTTCAGGTGGATGTTTGGATTTCAAATCTCAAGCTTTGCAGAACACACGATCTGGTACATATACTTTGGGTTTCCATAGCTCACACGATTGATATCTGTTCGTTGATGAAACACCAGCCTTCTCTTTCTTTATAAGAAGAGATGAGGACCAAGGAACTACAAGTTACGCTATAATGGAGACCAACACCACCAGTTATTTTACAATCAGCTCATGCGATAACCTTGCCCGACACTGACCAACGGTATTGATGCTCTACACCTAACTGGTGAACAGCATTAAGACTTGTATTAAGACTTGTAATTGGCACCCAACACCTGAAACGCAATGGCTGCAGAATCTTGGAATGTTCGAGTCTGTCTTGTTCGTTCTGCCAATGTGTCATGCAAGTAATGTCTTCTCCCTGAATGTTCGGAACGTTTTTGCAAATTGTCTGTACATGTGAAAATGGGTTGGCCATTTTGTGTAGCTTTCCACTACGTGGTTCGCGGTTGTAGTTTTTACGGTGGGAGATCTGCGCCAAGCCAATGCTGGATTGTTCAATAGTAGACGCTCTGCAGAGCCTGGGAGCCATTGCCCATGACAGACCAGCATGGCGAGATCTATGCATGAGGGTCTGTTCATTGTGCATGTGATATTCCGACAGATCCTGAAACAGTCAAACTCAGGAAATAGCACTATCATTATCACTCAGGCTGCAATATTCATAATTATAGACATATTCATAAATGACATATCTTCAATACCCATGAGCTACATTATATTATCATCGTTCTAGCTCATTTTTCATTTTTTTCCACACAGTCACTTTTCTCGTATTTCACTCCCTGTAGAACGCGCAAGTGCCTGTTGTGTGAAAACCCTGTAAAACAGCCTACACACAGAGAGTGATCAACTCATGCACTCCCCTTGGCAGGTCACAAGCACATTAGTCTACACAAAGCAGTGCCCTGCTCAGCAAAAGTGGGTTTTTTTTAACATCGGTTCCAAGTTTTGCATCTCCAAAGCCTCTCACAGGATTGTCCTAGTACGTTCACCTTGTCGAGCTTAATGCGACACATCGCAAATACAGTGTCTCCAACAGTCAGTGTTTTCCAAGCATGCATAGTGCAGATTTGGTCATCACATGGCTTGTAATCACTACAGAGAGCGGAGCCCTTTCGATAGAGTGCTCGATTCCCACAGGAGCAGAGCAGTAACACATGAGTCACAGAGTACCACAAGTCTATTGTAAATAATAGTTTCATGCCAGATGGCAATCTTCAGACAACGTGTAAATACTAAATAAAGCACCCTTGCAAAGGGTAATCACAATGAGACGCAAGTAGAAGGTCATTAATGCCATGGCCTGACACAGGACTTACGCAAAGTACAGGCCTGGACCTGATTCGTTCCATTGCACACCGGTTGAGGGTAAAGGTACTCAAAACCTGGTTCACACGTGACATATCCCGTAGCTGATATTTTCTTAATGTTATCAACACGTTGACGCCAGCAGTCTAAACATTGGAAAGGATAAGGCAAAAAGAGATTGAAATCTGATAAATTACCTCTCTCGTACCAACGACCTTAAGGCAGTTGGAACAACTTTGGATCCAAACCATTCACCGGATGAGGAACTGCTCCGTCGTTCAAGCAATTGTTTTCTGAATTTCATAGATTTCAAGCAATAATACTCCCATGGAGATGTAAAATAGCAATGAAAAATATCAATTGTGCACTCATAATCATGTATAAACAATTAAAATGAATCAATTCCAGAACGTTTTCGTGTGACCATCATCAGTGGAACATCGTCACATAGTAAGAATCACTAAAACAACCAGTTATATAGCTAGAGTAACATGAAAAGAAGCGTGAGAATGCAGCACAGCTAGCGGTTATGCATAACGCGTGTAGTGTGAACCTTTGCAGTGTATCTGAGAATAGTAGCAGTAGATGAATGTGGCAGCTGTGAGTGCGTGTGAACAAAAACTGGTGAGTGTGTATTATTTAAAAAGTGTGAGTGCTACAACATTTTCTTTTTGCTTGCATAGAAGTTTCTTTAAGCAGTTGCAGGTGTTGGAAGCTGTATATATTCGCACACGTGACCCTGTTCTATGCAAGCAAAAAGAAAATGTTGTAGCACTCACACTTTTTAAATAATACACACTCACCAGTTTTTGTTCACACGCACTCACAGCTGCCACATTCATCTACTGCTACTATTCTCAGATACACTGCAAAGGTTCACACTACACGCGTTATGCATAACCGCTAGCTGTGCTGCATTCTCACGCTTCTTTTCATGTTACTCTAGCTATATAACTGGTTGTTTTAGTGATTCTTACTATGTGACGATGTTCCACTGATGATGGTCACACGAAAACGTTCTGGAATTGTTTCATTTTAATTGTTTATACATGATTATGAGTGCACAATTGATATTTTTCATTGCTATTTTACGACTGTTGTCTCCTCGTCGGTTATTTAAATACCATGGAGATGTGTTCCTAATTTTTCTGATTTTTTTGTTTTTTCACAATTACTAGTATTGTATTAGAAATTTAACCCCAAGTCTCTAGGTATTATGGAGTGAAGGAAACATTCAGCTAACATTGTGTATTCGCTTGAACCGTACTGTTCCTTAGCCATTCACTGTTTGCTACTTGTAAACTACTGCATCACATTAAAAGAATGTGACTCCCTCGTTGTATTGGGACTCCCCTCAATTTGGTAACAAGCAGTAATGCTCAACGGACATATCTTGTTGATACGGTGAAATGATGATGTAAACCAGTGCGAACAGCAGCAAAGACGAGTCACTGCGAGCTTCACAAAAAAAAGAAGATTTGCTGTCGAGATGATTCTCCTCAGGGATGCGCACTCCGGTTTTTGTACTCTTGTAATATCTACAGCTACTGCAAGGGGGTTATAAACTAATCCCTACATATAATAGTATAAACAGCTTCCTCTGAGACAAAATGCGATAATACTCTTAAAAAGAACACACTTCAGGCTCATTACCAACATTTTACATATATAATAATTATATAGAGCAGAACAACAAGGACAATCAAGGCTTGTTTGCTGCGACTTGAGATTTCATGCTCTCGCAATCATTAGGTAACATGAAGGTTGGGTGCCGACCATGCCAGTATATATGTCAGGAGAAGGTACGAAAAGCTGTGAGAATGGGGGGGGGGGGGGGGGCTAGTGGTGTTATCTTAGGCAGGAGGCTGTGTGCGGAGGTATATAATATATACATAATTATGTACAATGCTCACTGCTCTTGGAGCATTTCGAGCACTCTTGGCAGGGTTTGCAGCTCTTTATAAAATGTTTTGCTTCACGGAAACGTATTTCATTGCGAAGAGCTGCGCTTCGGTCCTCTGAGCTGTGCTGAGGAGCTCTAACAGAGTGAAACAGTTGCTGTCCACAGATCTGAGTACATATATCCTACATAGTCCTGATAAGCAATGTGCTATGGGGCTAACCTACGTCAGATAAAAAATTCCTCTGGATGATAGGTCGTTGAGCTCAATCCACTTCAAATGAATTGAGTGGTTTCATATCTTTGTAACGTGGCTAAATTTACGCAGAAACAGAGAGTGGCATGGGAAGAGTGCAACCAATATGCCCGACATCACGTTACCCGTACGTGCAAAAGCTGAGTGGAGTTGGAACCAACATGGCCACCCAAAGATATCATGTGACTAATGTGAAACCACAATAATAGATCACACGAGTGCGGAGTAACGCACCACACACAGGTTTGACTGAAGTGCCGAGAAAGCTACACAACGATATACTTACTGGCTTCGCATACGGCATAGCGCGTAACCGCGTTTGGCCAATACCAAGAGAAATGTGTGTCAAGGAATTTACCACGCACACTTTGGTCACCCACCCAGGCAATGATGTTGCGATTAACTATACTCGACGCACATCCACCAAAGTTAAAAGCAGTAAAACTGAGAATGCTGGACTTTGCATCTTGGCACAACAGCACAGCACTTGAGTGGTTATGGTACAGGTAGTCCGGTGTTCGTCTCAGGACAGAGCCAGTCAAAGCACAGTATTGGTATTTCACTAGGCCTGCACAAACATAAGTATGCCGCGGGTCATGGTAAACACTTGTAGTCGTACTGAGTTGTAAATTAGATTTAGAAGGAGAGTATCTACTATTACCGCAAAATCCCGCCAGAGCGCCCCTACCTCCTCGACGCTTCAGGTGGGGAGGGGCGGATGGGCGAGTCCTACTTGCCGCATTCAGTGCTGCATGAAAAAGTACTCACCCTACGAAAACTGTTCGTGCATCTCGTACACCGACCAAAGGTCAAGAGCCAGGAGTCGTGCAGACCCGACAAAACGCAGGGTTTGTGCGATCCCTGGTCAAGAGGGTGGGCACTGTTGCGTACACTTCCAGCGGGGTCGAGCACGCGTCTGCAGTACAGTACGGCATCACAGACTGCGACAGAGTCATATGAGGATACAATAAATCACATCCCTGCTGACAAGAAGGCAGGGAGGGACAGATGGGAGAGATGGGGCACTCTGGCGGGATTTTACGGTAATTGCACACAACCAAAAACTCAAAATATACTAGTAACAAGTGGCGTGCTCATTGTCTGCACGCTGGGTAAGGAGGGGAAGGCGGAGGGGGGGGGGGGGGGGAGGGGAAGGCGGGTCTGTGTTGTATTCTGATTGACGTTGCCGTATTTCCCCGAATATAAGCCACACTTTGAACACTCGAAAAATTTCCACAAAAAATGGGGGATGCGGCTTATACTTCCATCATTAAGTAAACGGTAATAAATGCGGTAAATACCCGTAGCCTGCGGCCAAAAAATGGGGGTGGTTCGGCTTGTAGTCCAGTGTGGCCTATATTCCCAGAAAATATGGTGTGCTTGGATCAGCAAGCAGTCATTCATGGCTCAGCGGCATTCGCAGTCCCCTGATCTCCATCATTTCACATTCACTTAAGCAGATCCATAAACATAGAAGTACAAAGTTGGCCAAAAATCAAGCAGTGAGGTTTAATTCCCAGGACCACTAGTTACGAAATATGTCGACAAATAAATGGTGGAAATCACATGGAAATGAGTTTTAAAGGAAGCAAATATCCACGACTGTATTAAAATAATAATCAGTCAGAAAATGCGACAACAGGGGAGAAAACTGACATATTATTAACTGGTCCCGTCATGGTCCTGTAACAGTCGGCATTCTTTGTTGCCGTGGGACTTAGGGCATGCACATTTTTGCTGAGTGCACCACCCCTTCATTGGTCCTACCATAGCCTTGAACCAGCTGGAAGGCTGTCGGTTTGGGCACTGGAGGTGTGTGGGAGCTAGGTCTCTGGTCATTGAATGTCTCAATAACATATCTGTTTTGTGCCCTGTTATCACACTTTCTGACGTTATTGTCATGGATAGTTGCTTCATAACTCGTTTTCATGTGATTTCCTCTATTTCAATTATAATTATTGGATCAGTATCCGAGAAAATAAATGGTGGAAGATTGAAAGTGGTAAAGCTTTGGTTTAGGATGTGTTTAACATCTGACAGCGTTTCGCGAGATTCCCTGTTTCCACTTCCATTCAAATTCAGATTGCCTTTCCTTGGATCTTTGCAGGGAGCATTTCGAGACGCACTTCATCAGGAGCAATCGACTTGGCATGGATGGCTCTTGGCACTGCATGCTTGAAAAATAACGGAGAAGCAAGTAAACGCTGTCGATCCTGTTGATGTGTGGACTGGTCAGTTTGAGTCCTGAACTGCAACCGAGCCTGTCACGTTGGCAGATCTCAGCGATGAGTCTCGCCTCGACTGCACACGAGGGACATCGCGCCATCAAATCCCTACACTGTACCACAGAACCATCAGACTTACATGCCTTAGGGCCTGGTCAGACTGCGGCAACTTTTGGTCGCCTGACGAAAAAAAGAACAGCGTCCTCAATTTGAATCGTGATCACACTACACATGTGGGGAGAATAAAAATTCAAACTTCATTTCGAGCGTCAAATGGTAATCTCCACGAACGACGTCAAATTCCTTCACCTTGGGATCGCCAACACCTTCAGTGCAATCCTTGCAACCATCCTTATGAGTTTTGTTGTTGTCCGTGGCCAATTACCTCCTCGATATCGAGATGAAAAAATCAGTGATAATAAGCGTCAATGGCGTATCAGCGTCAAATCCTGTTTGGAGCGGAAAAGCGTGGCCCGTTCTTGCTTTTTTTTTGGAGCGTCAACTCTCGCTTTTGCCGCTCTGGCGGCAAGTTACTATGGAGATTCGGATTATAATCCTAGGATTATTTCGATTTTGCCGCAGTCTGACCAGGCCCTTAGGCTGGAAAATGGGTAAATTCAGGCTAGATTTGCAGATTTTTGAAAGAACGCATGTACCATTTTCTGCATGTTTTCCAAGTGGTGTAATCGCATTGTATGGTCCATGATCGTGGAATAAGAACAAAACTACTAACGCCGTTCAACATTAGTTTTTAGAAAAATTCTAGGCTGTGCCTTGAGCTCACGCGTTCTTTGGCGCCCGATCTTACTGTTCTTCGTGAAGTACACTTGTCTTGATGATTTGATGCTTAGTGCTTGTTGTTGAAGCGGAGCATCACGGACACACTACATTGGTCTCTACCAGGGCTAGGCTCCGGCGGATTATGATCGCGAAATCATGGAAATATGCTTTCATGGATTCTCGTATTATGCTCGTAAAATCGTCATATTATACTTTGGCACCCGGGGATATATATTCACTTTGTTGTACTTATGGAGCCTCAAAGTTCGGAAAATTGTGCCTTTTCTCGTGGCCATAAGTACAACAAAATACCTGAGTATCCCCATACCAAGATGTCCATGCATGTTAGAGATCAACATAAATGTACTTTCCAGTGGCATCATTATTCTGAGAATATTCTCGCTTTGTTTCCAATCAGTTGTACAGTGCATTTCAAAACTATACACACGTAGGGTTTTTGAAATATTTCAAATTTGGCTGGAACTTTTTGAGAATAGTTTTCGAAATATTGCTCAGGATTGCTCCACAATTACTCTCATATAGTTTCTAAAGGATTGGATAACAGACGCCCAATTTGGAAAAATTTATGCACAAAGTGATCACAGATTTTATGTGGTATAGATGCTGGCATAACGGTTTTTGCCTAGGCACGAGTCTATAGTTTTAAAATGAACTGTAGGGTAATTTCTGCGTAGGATTTGAGTCGCCTGTGGTTTGTGGTCCTCCACCAATGAGCGCTTACAATAGCTCTTTACTCTGCTCTCGCAGCTTGCATATGCCTATGTTCTATATGGAAAACGCTCACTTGTGCCATTTCTGCGATAATAAGAATGATCAGCCCATTGCACTCAATTATCATCATTATCATCCTCTACTGATGAGCCCAACAGAGCGAAACAGCTGTCTAGAGGCGTGGATATATTATCTGTAAACGGAAGTGTTCTAGCTGTGCTGGTGTCTCAATGCTTTGTGCATTGGTTCAGCTAAGATGCCATGGTGGTGGAGTTGATAATGCAGTAAATGAGAGGAAAGTAGGCAAGTTTATTTTCGTGCTCATGCCAGAATGATTTCCATCCAGCCTTACATAATTTGATAATTTAGGATCAAAAGAAAACCTGAATATAATTTGCCATCTTGACTCCCTTCATTGTCGATGCCAGTTTCTCTCATTTGTTATACGTCCATTTGGTATATCCGTTCAAATCCAGATAACTTAGAAGTGATTCATGTTACAAACACTAGATATGACTGTTGCCTAACCAGACTAGTTTTTCCCGGCCATGGTGGAATACTCTGTATTTCTCTTACGATGTGGTACGTTTCGGAACTGTTATCCCCCGGTCCTTAACCTACATCCCTATCCTTCCCAAGTCTAAATGCAAGCTACATCAATAGATGGCCGACATTAAAGTCTGCTGCACGCTTATCAGTGAGCTATGACTGGTTTTTGATCACTCCAGTCACTCTACTTAGGGGCCATGTGCAAACATATCTATTCCCGTACCCAGGACACGGTTCTGCACTTTTAACGGTCGGATTTCAGTGAGCGCAACCGACCACCAGCTCAGGGGATGCTTGGATCTGTGTTGCATTATGAATTTCCGACAGCACAGTCCGCAGAACTGCCGCCCGAATTAATAAAAAAAGGTGCCCAGCTGGAATGTGCACTTTCATAAAAAAATAAAAAATAAAATAAATGTTAACGGCGGGAAAAATGATGCCAAGCTTACGTGGAGTACACACTTGAACTTGAGTTGTTCCATTGCACACTGGTTGAGGATGAAGGTATTCATAACCTCTTTTACACGTGACAGTTCCATCAGCTGATATTCTCTGTATATGATCACCGGCTGTGCGTTTGCAGGCTGAAAAAGGAAATGGATAGTATGAAAAGAAACAAGTCGAAAAGATCAGATTAGCTCCTTTCAAATCCAACGGAAATGGTGGTGTTCTCCAAAAAAATGAATGGGCTCTTTCTCCAAGAATACCTAAGTAGACATCGATAGCAAGAGGTGCGGACACTTTTTTGGTGGTTCGTATTTTTGAATTGTATTAATTTTATTATTTAGGGATTACTATTGTAGCTTGTGCCACCATATATACACAAGCTACACAAATAATAGAGAATCTCAGAGTTGAGCAACTTGTGTCCTGTGTTAGCAGGAGGCAAATTTCTTCATGTGCTGAAATTGTTTGTGAATTTCGATCAGTAGTCACTAAATGGAAACAAGGAAAACGATGGGGCGCAAGTTATGCGCTTAAGTCCACCAACTAAACCAGGTTTGGAACAGTCAGACGAGCACAATGTAGCGCCAGACTGACATGGAGTACTGAGACATCCCACGGCAAGGGTGTAAGCTTGAGCACGGCTCGTTAGCGCTAGCCAATGGCCTTCCAACTTGGAATGTTCTTGGATATTAGTGAGAAAGGTAAGCGCCATTAAGCCGAACACAAGCTACATTTCAAGGCACAGTGGAATGCTGACTTGGTATGATAACTTGATGGGTAAGACCATTGGATAATAAGGTCTAACCACAATTCGACAACGCAAAGCAACAACCAACCAACTTGGGTGGGTCAAATTGTATCAAGGACAAGAAATGAAAAGGAAACTTCGCGAGGACGTTGCCACAAACTGAATGCCGATATCCTACAGTACTGTACTTGGCTAAATGACCATGAAGTATGATAGACAAACTAACTACTACAACATGTATAGCATAAAACAATGAACGTTTTGCTGTATGGACGGCTCTTCAGGTGTGCAAGAAGTAAAAATGAATGGAGGACGGATAAAAGTGTTTTAACTCTGAGGTTCAAGCACTAAGAGATTATCAGAAAACAGACAACATGTGCAGTAAGTAACACCACCACCCATGTTTCTATACAGCCATCCGGAGCAGAGAAGCAGCCAAAAGAACAGCAAATTTTACACAGTTGTTAACAAAATACCAAATGTTTAAAAAAAAAGCCAAATCACCTCGTACGACTTACAACGTAGTGATTTTATGATCAATAATATGCAAATAACGCTGGTTTGTATACACAAATGTACACAAATAAGCAGGTGCTTCTGGGAGAGAAGGCCTCTTTTACGGGCAAAGCAAAGCACAATCATCACCATGTATCAGTACAGTGAGTAGTTAAACCCAACACGAATGAAAAATGTGAAATGGAATAAAAACAATATTTGTAAAAAAAAAATTAAAATTAAAATTCAATATCGAACACGAATAAAATAGAATAAAAATATGTAAAAAATAAACAATATCGAACACGGAATTAATTCCGGAACTATCTACTCAACCAATTCATAATGCAATACCCGCACACTGTGTCAGTGATGGAACTCCGCTACCCGATCAACATGCAGAGACCACTCAATCACATGCTTAGAAGCCGCTCTCCACAATGGCCAGCTCCCTCATCGCATTAACTGGACGATGGTAGGCCGAACGTGCACCGCGAATGCACATTATGGCTGCCCTGAGCAAAGCGAAGGACAAGCGACACCGCACATAGGCCATTAGCTGGGCATACGGTCGATCGGCAGTTGCCAGCAATGCACACAACCGCTTAATGAATGCAGTACACTCCGGAGCACAACAACCCGCCGTGGTAAAGACTAGAGGGGTAAATGAACCACGGTCGACATTGTTGATACGCTCGGCATACTCACTCTTCTTGCGGCGCTCATGTTGCTTCAGAAGATCACTGACGGGCTTGCTCTTGTATGATGCTGCATCCGGGTGGAAGACCCGGACATCGAAGAACGCATTCTGAGCCCGGGTCCAGAACCCACGAGCTCGGACATCAGCTCGGGCGTCGTTCGCGGTGTTTGTTGATGCCAATAAAAACACCTCGCCTGTGATCGGAGCAAGTACAGGCTCGACTGCCACATCTGAGCATACCTCCGTCAGAAGATCCGCCACGATATCTCTTACTTCATTGTGGCGAATTGTCGGGAAACCTCCGCGGGGGCAAATCATCGCATGCGTGGCGTCGAACGGCTCCCCACACACACAGCTCGCTGGTGTGTCCAAGAGAGACCAACCATAGCGGAGAGCTAGAGCGTCGCGGAAGTCTCCCTTGGACAGATGGTGACCATGGTCTGCCAGAGGCAATACCCCGAGCCAACTCGACACGCCTTTCGTGGATAAACTCTCCAGCCGACGAGCCAGGGCAGGGGACGCACTGCTCTTGATCGTGACGAAATCATTCTGCTCCCTCTGACGACGGTCATGCGCTAGCCGTGTCTTCTCGCTTAGGGCTGCCTGGCGAACATCTTCCGTGGAGTTATGGGTGTATTGATCATTCTGGTGTACAATCTCCTCCACCTGAAGGGCCGTTACAGCTCTCGACGCAGGGAGCTCTGCCGTACCCATTTGCTGAAAACACGGCAGGGCCATCCCCCCCCCCCCCCAGTCGACAGGGCAGGCGGAGAAGGTTCAATTCTTCTGGTAGGAAGGAATCACGGCCCGCTAGAGCAGGTAGAAGCTCCTCCGTGATCACCTTGTCAAGGTCGGTAAGGCATTGTGCAGGGAAAGGTACTGTACGCAATAGGTAGGTCCACCTACCACGTAAACCATGAGATATTGCAGCATAGGCAGCATGTGGCTCCGTTTTTGCAATCTCTGTAAGCTTCTTCAGCTCTTCCTTCCACTTCGCCACCCGTTGCTGCACACTTTCCGCGACCGCCTCTTCCGATCCAATCTCGGAGCCGAGATAACGCAAGCTCCCCGTGACTGTCTCGGCAAACACTTGGCGTGCTTCCTGCTCCAGCTCTGGCTTGACAAGGAGCTGGGTCTTTTCGGAGTTCGTGAAGTATCCGTATCGCCGTCCAATTGCCTGCAGCTCGTCCCACCACAACCGGATCTGTCTCAGCCTACCTGCTCCGCTGGAATCATCCGCATACCAGCTCTGCCGGACTGATGTGTGCTGCTCCTGGAGACGAGTGATGATCGGTATGGTGGCAACTGCGTAAAAGGCCATGGAGAGGGGGTCGCCCTGAGTGGTTCCCTCACTCGACTTGACTTCCCCTCCACCTGCAACAAATAAACGTGCAGCCGTTTGATAGGAGTTCATGATGACGCTGGAGAGGGCAGGACATAGCCGCTGGACATTGTGTAGCGCCGCTTCTCTGTTCAAGCTGTTAAATGCATTGCGAGCATCCACCAACAGCATTCCATCTGTCTCCTCGTCATTGTAAATCTGCTGCACATCTGCTTCTGGGAAGGATTCACAATAATAAATGAAAACACCATTAGTCCTGCGGCCCAAATCTGAAAGACGTTGTTTTGCAAGTCCCGTTTCAGTCTCAAGCAGACAACCTGAGCTTTGCATGGGTGGAAAGACCATGTTCTAGGGATGTCGAAACGGCTTGTTGTCATGTCCAGAACTAGGGCATAAGCTGGGGAGAACCAATTTTAGGTTTCGTTACGGAAGTCGTTATTTTACGTTATTTTACGACTCCTTGATCGAAATTGGCAACATGTGATACGATATTTTATTGAAAATTAGTGCAGTCGATGTGAATTTGTTCTTGTGTTTGGATGATTTGTAGATCATGGTTGCCCTTTGCCGAGCGTTCATTTCCTATTGATGGTGATTAGAGATGGCACAGATTGATTTGTTGTAAAATTTGACCAAAACACCCCCAAACATGGATCTTTCGTATGAGAGGATTTCATTTATTGGGACACTATCTCGACAACACCAGCGGAAGAGAGCTAGCACGAGCGAAGCAAAGGACACCGGAAAACGGCAGAGTGATAGCGATCATAAGCTGATCTTAGCAAACGAGCGATATGGAAGATGTTGTAAATAATAGCGCAGTAGTGTATTAGTCATTTGCTGCAGAGTGGAAAAGTACAATTCAAATTCAAATCAATTCAAAAACTTCAATAGTGCGGTCCACCAGCCTTAGCTTTCAGACTCACTGTCCGATTCACAGTCGGACTTACAGTCCAATCCACTGTCGAAACTGCCTTCACCCTCATCATGGCATTGTGTGCATGCGCGTACACACACCGCACAACACATGGCATTGTGCGCGCGCGCTCGCACACACACATACACAAACCCCACACGCACGCACACACACCGCACAACACATGGCATTGTGTGTGCGCGTCCGCCCGCGCGCGCACACACTCACACACCACATAGCACGCTAGAGATCAGCAAGAACCTGCTGCGACCGTGGTTGAGATGGCGCTGTAGAAGACACCGCAGCCGCCACTGGTTACCTCGCACCCGAGGTTGTAGTCAAAGCCGTACTAGCCGACACATCTGTACTGGAGGCTGATGTAGTACCCAAAGATGAAACTGATCCACTGGTGTTCACCTGACGCGGCGGAGTAGCGGATCCTTTGAAGCCGAAATGAGTGGGCAACACGACATAGGCGGGGACAAGCCCAGCGGATATCGCAGCGGGCCTATCGTAACTCCTGGCAGTGAGCCTATCGTAATTCCTGGCAGTGGGCCCGTCGTAACTCCTGGCATTGGGCCCGTTCTCTTGCCGGACACTGGGGTGCGGAGTGGACGTGGATGCGGGCAGGAAATCTGCGGCGACCGGCTGGACTGGGATGGTTGGGGTCGGGCCAGGTGCGTTACTAGTATGACTGTTCGGCAATGACTGGGTATTACCGGCCATCGGACCGTTTCCAGACGACACAGACAAGCGGTTGCTCCGTGAAGAGTGCGCCTGTATACCCATGCCACTTACCATACATGTCAATTGCTGAAGGAAACACACAGTTCAAACACAAAACGTAAATGAAACACGCCAATGAAATTCGATCCTTAAACAAGTCAAGTTCGCATGTCTGCGTTATCACGGGCTATACAATTGTGTTTAGAAAACAACCAGTTTATAATTCTGTCTCTTCTTGCATAAAGTCAGCCTAGAATACTGACATCAGCTTTGGACATTACTCTGACTCGGACCACAAGCCCTGATTTATTCTGACCTAAATGTGTATCGTGTGAAGCAGCGCGAGAGCCAAGCTGGTCATAATAATACGTGTAACAGCCACGAACGTAATTCAACCAAAGAAGACTACCACATTACATGAGCATGAACACTTGCATTCCATTTAATACATTCCTATGTTGTAGATGTCAGGCACTGTAGTGTTCACGTCTACATACACTTTGTGGCATTCCTTGGCCACCCAGACATTCATGATAGTAGCGCATCGTGAAATGAACTTAGCGGCTTTTAGTTGCTGTGCATGAGTCTGGACTCATGATCTGGTGTGTACATGTGATCTTGTAGTTGAGCGTATGTGTTATTTGGATTCCCTTGGTCATGACCAAACAATAAAACATGATCAAATTATTTCTACACATTCAACAATGCCAAGAACTCACCTGGTCCCCAAGTAGCTCATTATCTTCTTTTTCAGCATGAAAGTTGGATACTAAGGCGGAGTGTGATGGTCGGCCAAGCTGGTGCCGTTTGCAGTTATTGTACTTATCCGTGAGAAGCTTCATGGGCAAGGCCTTTGCAGACTTCAACTCGGACTGTATATACAGCACCAGGCTGTCAAATGTTTCGTAGGCCGACGGCTGGTCACTCCCTTTGCCACTTCGTTGCCGGTGCATAGTGGCCAGGTGGGTGAAGGCACTGTAGCATGCTCCGACGTTGATAGTGGATTTCCGCTGCAACGCAATCTGGGCCATTCTGGAGCGAAAGCCAAAATTCTTGCGTTGTTCTCCAACTCTGCTAGATGCACATGTCATGAGGCACAAGTCTGCAGATGTGGATTCAATCATTGTACATCTCTCCTTGTTCTACGCTTTGCTGGTACATGGTGTCCCATCATCACATACATGTATCTCCTCCAATTCAGAATGGCTTGAAAAGTCATGGCCACGTCCAAGTGGCAGCCGACCCAGCAACGTTTTGTTAGTGTATGTACTGTAGCACTTGCGGTGGTACCATCCGCGGACGCTCTCCTCGGTGCAGTGGCTCTCGCACAAGAAGGTATAGCTCGTCCTGCCTGCATTTAGCAGCTTCAAACAAAGTTTCCCAACTCTGCAAAGTAAATCGGGTTTGCTTTTCCTGCGATGCATTGAACGCAATGGCACAAGCAAAATTCCCGCGATACAACGCCATTCCCAGGACGAGGCCTAAGAAGCTCCACGGCCTCTTCCTCCATCATGTCAAAAGGTGTCTACCATGCTGTGAGCGGTGGGCAGGAGGCACTCAAACAGCGCGAAACGCAACTACTATGCAACCACCAAACGAAAAATGCAATTCTACATTTCAAAGAGTATCCTGTCGGTGTCGTCGTCATCTTCAAAAATTTGAAAAAGGCGCTCCTTTCCGTGAACTGTGCACCCCCAGATGGTGCGCAGTATCGCCGACGAGAGCGGAGAAATTGGCTTCTCCTGAGCTTCTGCCCTAACTCTGAAGATGACAACAAGCGGAATCCAGGTCAGGTATACATACTTTAGGCCGTAGTGAAGAACCCAGGTTGTCTGCTTGAGACTGAAACGGAATTTTTTTTGAAGTTTGGGCCGCTGGACTACATGGCTCAACAGTGTTCTAGCCAGGTCAAAATACTAGGGGGGCGGGCATGGGAAAAAGTTACCCCATGACCCATTTTTTCGATTGTCCAAAATTGTCTTGCCATGCAAAATGTAACATACGTGGTGAACCCCTCACAAATGTGCCTTTATGAACCCTCTAGTAGTGACTATCAACTGTATTTTCGTTGAATGGCGGAAAATGAGTAGGGGGGGGGGGGGGGCGGCACGTTTTCACAGGGGGCGCGCAAACGGAGTGGGGGGGGGGGGGGGGGGGCGATGCGCCCCCCCCCCCACCCCTTTGGCTAGAACCCTGCTCAATATAACTGCACATACGGAAAGCTGCTTCTATTGTCAAGTTCGAATGGCGATGTTAGAAAGACGGTATATTGTTCGTGATGTCCACCCTGCAGGGGATACGTCAAGGACGCGGCTCGGCAGAGGAAGACAAGTGCCGCGGGGTGCCATTCCACCATGACGTATCCCCTGCAAACTGCCGCAGCTGATAAAGGCCTTTAAGCGTGCCCAGGCGAATGCGAATGCAGTGATATGAATGCCGTAACACAGACTTCTATGAACAACCTGAAAAGCTTACAGTGTTTTACGTCAACCATGATGGCTACACTGGCCAACCAGACCACGACGAAGTTGGGACCAAAGCGAAAGTTTTTTTTATACAAAAGAGAAAGACCAAGGAACTACAAGTTAGTAGTAGTAGTAGTAGTAGTATTTATTATTTGACTAGGGGAGTCCCAACAGGCATGGCCTTGTTACAGGGAACCCTAGGTGAATCTTTGTGAGGTGAGCAAAAGTACCAACAGATTGTGCCTGACGACAGTTTGGAGGAAGAGTGTTCCACCGACCTGCCGCCAGAAAAGAAACTGAGCGCAGTCCATACCCAATATGTACAGTAGGTAATACTAAGGCAGCTGTATCCTGGCCACGAGTACGAGCATTTGTGTGCGGGCCAACTGAACGCAGGAGAAACAGTGACTGAAGGAGGGGGCTAGTAATTGGTGACAAGCAGCGATAGACCAAAACGTATAGTTTCAAATTAACTCGTTGCTCAAACAAGTTACGCTATACTGTCCACTAACACCACCAGTTACTAAACAATCAGCTCATGCGATAAAATTGCACGACACTGACCAACGGTACTGACGTTCTACAACTAACTGGCTAACAGCTCTAGCACACTGCGCCCCCAACAGCCTTCCAACTTGGAAGGTTCTAAGTTATAGAAATAACATAAGGAGTTGGAAGGCTGTTGGAGTGCGCGTCCAAGATTTGCTAGAGCTGTTAGCCAGTTAGTTGTAGAACGTCAGTACCGTTGGTCCATGTTGTGCAATGTTATCGCATGAGCTGATTGTTTAGTAACTGGTGGTGTTAGTGAACAGTATAGCGTAATGTGTAGTTTCTTGATCTTTCTCTTTTGTTTGACCTTGGCTCTCCATCTGAGGTTATTTTTTTCATAAAAATATATCCATTGACCATTTTCAACGAAAAATGATCATGTACACAAAAATATTATGAAAAAAGCATGTACAAAGTGGCTACAAGCTTATCAAATACTTACGGAATTCACATACGACATGGCGCTTTACAGTATTTGGAGGGTGCGAATCTTCAAGTGTGTCAATGAATTCACCATTGGAAGCGCTGCTACCAAACCACGCTACGATGGGTTGGTTGAGTACACCAAAACCACATCCCGCGTCGTAGGCTCTGCTGCTAAAAATGCCAGCATGTGCTGATTGGCACAGCGCCACGCCAACTTGGTGGCTGTAGACCTGGTAATCGGGAGTTCTTCGGAGGATTACACCAAGACAGTATTCGTATTTTACGAAATCTACATGAAAAAAGAGTGATTTAGTCAGTGACAGGAAAAAAAATCCTCATCATAAAATGGACCAGGGGGGGGGGGGGGGGGGGGGAGGGGGAGGCTGACAATCCTCGGTCAAACAATAGATTTAACGTGTTTTTTTTACTTATATACTTCAAGTAATCACATGCACACACAAAGTTGACTGTTCCCGTACGACAAGCACAGTCACACATCCACATTGCACTGTTCCCCTACCGCAAGCACAGTCACACATCCACTTTGTACTGTTCCCCTACGGCAAGCACAGTCACACATCCACATTGTTCTGTTCCCCTACGGCAAGCACAGTCACACATCCACATTGCACTGTTCCCCTACGGCAAGCACAGTCACACATCCACATTGTACTGTTCCCCTACGGCAAGCACAGTCACACATCCACATTGTACTGTTCCCCTACGACAAGCATAGTCACACATCCACACTGTAACACATTAGCACACCTTGACGCCTCTGGAAGTGAAATCAGTTTTTAACACAAATACTCTCGGCTTGCTCGCAATTCTAATCGAATATTTTTTATTATTGAACTTGAAGTAGTGATTAAATATTGCGACAGAGCTTTCGGCCATATTTTCAATTCATTGCATTCCCAACTCATCGCAACCACGCGCTCTTCAGCCGAACCATACAGACACCAGCAAGGACACTTCCGTTGAGAGATAATATTGCTCCACGCCTCTAGACGGCTGTTTCGCTCCCTGTCGGAGCTCATCAGCAGAGGATGATAAAGATGATAATGGAGGAATGATCATTCTTATACACCAGAAATGGCGCAAGTGCGCGCTTTCCACATATATCAATGGCATATGCAAGCTGCTAAAATGGTAAAGTGTGAGAACAGCGATAAATAATCATAGTACGCGCTCATTGGTGGAGAAACACACCACACAGGCGACGAAAATCTTACGCGGAATAATGATGCCAATGGAAAGTACATGTATGTTGTTTATTATTATGATTTTGCAATGTCCATGTATGCAGGCGAGGTGAGACTCACCGCCGAGATCCTCCAACGCGACAGGCTCAGTTGCAGTTCAGGATTCACACCGACCTATCCACACCGACCTGGCCTCTCGTGTGTCAGTGGTTGCTACTAGACCTGTTAATATCACACTCACGACTACAAGTTTCCTGGTGTGCATCGACTTCGGCATCAGTGGGGCCTCCCGCTGTCGATCCTGTTGACGGGCGGACAGGTCGGTGTGAATCCTGAACGGCAACTGAGCCTGTCGCGTTGGGGGATCTTGGCGGTGAGTCTCACCTCGCCTGCATACATGGACATTGCAACATCATAATAATAAACAACATACATGTACTTTCCATTGGCATCAGTATTCCGCGTAAGATTTTCGTCGCCTGTGTAGTGTGTTTCTCCACCAATGAGCGCGTACTATGATTATTTATCGCTGTTCTCACACTTTACCATTTTAGCAGCTTGCATATGCCATTGATATAATATATCAATGGCATATATGGCATTATGTGGAAAGCGAGCACTGGCGCCATTTCTGGTGTATAAGAATGATCATTCCTCCATTATCATCATTATCATCCTCTGCTGATGAGCTCCGACAGGGAGCGAAACAGCTGTCTAGAGGCGTGGAGCAATATTATCTCTCAACGGAAGTGTCCTTGCTGGTGTCTGTATGGTTCAGCTGAAGAGCGCGTGGTTGTGATGAGTTGGGAATGCAATGAATTGAAGTAGTGATTGTTGAAAAAAATCAAAGCAATAAAGCAAAGTGCAGCAACCCTGGAAACAGCAATGGTGGAAGGTATAGCTCTTTCAGATGGCCAAAGACCCGGATCACTCCCATCTTTAGTGGATTCAACATGTGCAAGGGAGAAAGCATGCATGCTCTCACTGTGGATGTACGCATTCCTGGCATAACAAGAGTGACAAATACCGATCATGGTAAACAGATTTCGAATGCCACACTGATGCTGGAAATCAACTCACGAACCAACTTACATTCACATTTGGGCATTGGGCTTAAAGAGCCATCTGCCTGACAGATAGCCTGATTCCCCCTTGGCGGCACTGTACCAGGATTGCACGTGTAGACCAGCGTTTCACCATTTTTGACATATTGTCTGGTGGCGGTGCCGTTAGCAATTGCCGGCACATTGCAATTGATTACTAGACAAGCAAACACATCGACACACAAGCATTATAAAAACAGTTGTGCAACTAACACACACACACACACGCACACACACACATACACCCTCCCCCCCCCCCTTTACACACCCTACCACTACTACTATTAGCAGCATGACTTCCCAGATGGGCAAATGTCACCCCTAGGAAAAGGGGACCTGAAAACGGGAGTTGGACTCCAACAAGGACTGAGAATGTCTGGATAGGTCCTGCTGCCAGCTGAAATTGCATTTACTAGGGTGTGTGTGGGTAGTCGGGTACCAGTGCTACCCGTGAGGACCTCGGATGGATGGGTACAGAATAGCACCCGGAAACCCGAAGTTGCACATGACATCATATACAGTGAACATGTCAAAATTCATGTAATACTCCGCATGCCTACCCAGTGTGTAAGGGATGGGGTACATTGAGGAGTTACCATGAAAACATTACCGGATCGGGTACCCGTTCTACCCGTGGAAAACTCTCCGAACCTGATACCCGAAGAAAATGTTACCCTTCTCAGCCCTAGCATTGACACTGTAGGCAGCTGAGGGGCATGGGCCCTCTGCATTTAATACGAATCGAAACTGCTTTTTTCCATTTTCGACGTGGTGTGTACTTTGTGTTTCGCGACGCTTGAACGTTGCCATTGAGAAAGCCGGAAAATGCTGAAATTTTTTCAAAACGAAGATCCAACGTAGAAAAGTGCTTTACCACGGAATTCGGTAGAAAGATTTAGGTAGGAAGTTGCCCTTGCTCCCGTCTCTTACGACATGCGCATTATTATACGTTCTCTTTCTATCTCTCTTTCTCTTTTATCCCCTTATCTTTCACTATTTCTCCCTTTCCACTGCAATTTTACACACAAACTAACTTACATTCACATTTGGGTAGCGCGCTTAAAGTGCCGTCTGCTTGACAGATTGCTCGAGTCCCGCTTGGTGGTGCAGTGCCCTTACTGCATGTGTAGACTAGTGCTTCACCATACATGATGTATATGTTGTTTGTTGTGCCGTTAGCAATTTCCGGCACGATACACTTGATTGCTATGCAAGTAAACACATCGAAAGACATGAAATATAGTAAAGTTGTGCACATAATACACACACATACACACACACACACACACACGCACATACCGTAGTCCCGCGCATATAACCCCACAGGCCTGTATCTGGATATAAGCCCACCTCCGTTTATAGACCCATGGGCTAATAAACAGACCCAAACACCGTTACGGACCCGTTTCTCAAGTGTATTTTCACAATACCGGTACAGAGCTGTTCTTGTTGATGAGCCAGAAAACAAGAAAGTGGAGGGTTAACCCTTGACCCCCATGGACTCTTGACCAACAGTACAGCATGTCAGTGCAGACTACGTTACCAGTACCGGTACGAACGGTAGGCGGACAATCGCGCACGGACTTCTACTTTTTTGCGTGCCAGCTAGCTGCCTTCAAAATTCGAATATAGGCCCAGGGCTAAAAAACGAACCATTATTACTGATTGTTTCCCGGAAAAGCATTATTTCATATATTAGCCCATGGGCTTATATGCACGGAACTACGGTACACACACACGCCCACAAAAAAAACATGTGCACAGACTGAATCAGACGCATAACGGAACTGTATGACAGATGTGCACTGACTTACATTGGCAACTTGGTCCCGCTGCTGAAATCATGCATTGTTTTCCCAGCGTGCAGTTCAAATCACAGCGACCTTGAAAACCAAACACACAGAAACAGTAATCGAGTATTAATGTTCCCTTGTATTGACAGATCTCCTTTGCACCGGTTTTGTAGAGTATGAACAGTGATTCTACTAGTGAGTCAGTCAAATTACACACCGGCTGCCTTTGCTTTTCTTTTCTTAGTGTTGCAACATGGGAAATAAAACTGGTCCAGTGTACAATTAAAAAAAAGTGTGAAGTTGGTGGAAAACCAGAGGCTCAGTGTAGGGAGCAGCCAACTTTTCCACAAATCATCCCTTTCCTAATTGCAACCGCCAGCTCGAACTGTTGTTCCCGGCGCAGAAGTGGAGCTTGCGGCTCTGAAGCGCACAATGCTGAGACTGACTGAGCGTCCTGAGCAACTGTTCTTTGGAGGTAGGTCATCCCCACCCAAAAGGAAATTAAATCTGCCTGTGCAGTTGGTCTTACCTCGAATCCCACATGCTTCACAACAACGTCGTGTGTTTTCGGAACAGAACAGCTGACCACATGGCAGTGTATTGGGGCAATCATTCACTCCATTCTATTGGCGTTCAGTTCGGAGTAAACAATAGTAGAGGAAATACATAAGTAGCTCAGCACATCTGACTAAAATTACAAATCCCCCCCCCCCCCACCCCCGATAAAAGAAAACCAGTGGGATTTTCTTACATGACAATGTGTTGAAGGACAATTGGTGGTGTGACCTCACGAGTATACCCATTTTGCAACAAAGTTTTTTTTCCGTTTGGCCAAATCAGGCTTATGCATGCAAATAGATTCAGAGCTTCCAACTGGTTCACAAATTGGCCACGACAAAATAGAGAAAAAAAGAGGCCCGACAAAGTACAGAGAAGTGCGATGAGGCGATAACAACGGTGACAAACAGTGTACAAAGCAGGGACTTGGGCTTTGTTGAAGGTTTTGCAAGGGGTGGATTCTATGAGATTCTTATGCAGTCTGGAGTATCAAGTCAGGAGTCATATAAGTGTCAGCTCCTATTCATATGGAAAGCGTGAGATTTCACGTTCAGAGAAACAAATAATACAATTCCGAAGGCAAAACTGACTGTCACCACCAGGACTCGAGCCAGGAACCTTCACTTGAGGCCAGCGATGCTCTTATCACTGAGTTGTGGTGTAGCTAATTCCTAAATTGTTGCCAAAATCCCTTTAACCTTTTCTCTTAACCTGTATGTATCACATACAGTTCACTGGTCATGAATATATTTCATGGCAATGCACTCACTCGGCATAAGCATGTACCGTATCCGCAGACGTTCGGGTACTGGTCACCGTTGCTATAAACATGTCCCAGATACTCGCATTGATCTACAGCCAATGAAACAGTCATTCAAAAACAAAACTACGACCTACAGTCAATAAAACAGTCGTACAAAAATGGACTTCAGCTAGCCGGTGGTGAAAATTTGGCAAATTCTGCTGGAAAGAAGTAAAATTTACAGAACCATGCAGCCGTACAGAGAACTATACTGTAGAAATACAAATTTTCGTCCATGAAATCTTTCCTTAGATCACTCCCCCCCCCCCCCCCAGCAGGCTTGTTACGTGCTAAACTTCGTTTTTAGTCGAGGTCTAGTGACGTCTGTCAACCCGAACGTTCAGACAAAAACTTTAGTTTTTTCGTGCCCCCTAAAGAATGTAGCGAAATTTAATTCCAAACGAAAATTTGGACTTGTACAGTACCTCGAATTCTGCTCCAAATCTTTATCCACATACCAAACATGCAAATCTTTATCCACATACCAAACATGTTTCATGCATGTTTGGTATGTTTCATGCATAACAGAAAAATACCAAATTCTGCCATATTTTCTGCCGGTATAATCCGCCAAGGGAAATAACATTAAAACTTTGCTAAGTCTTTGGGGAGTCCTCCAATACAAAGTTTCCTCAATAAAGTTAGCACTGGAAAAGAATGAGCTAACACTGGTGGAAGTAGGACCCAGACTAGGCATAGTGTGTTAATTTTGCTGATGTTGATGTCGCTGGGGCTAGTGTCTGCACTCTAGTGCCTGTTTAACTTCTCCCCATCAGTTCCAAGCATCTTTGTCAACATTCCACAACAGGCACCACGTTTGGCACCATAATGCTCTCTCTCATACTCTCTCTCACTCTCTCTCTCTCTCTCTCTCTCTCTCTCTCTCTCTCTCTCTATCGATCTATCTATCTCTCACCCTCTCCCCTCTCTATGTCTATCTCTAAATTGATTTTCAAAGTTTTCTGTATTCATAACTGGTAGGTGTTAGTTGTTAGTTGTAGGACGTCAGTACCGTCAGTACCGGCGTCAGTACTGTTGGTACCGTCAGTACCGTCGGTCAATGGCGTGCAACGTTATCGCATGAGCTGATTGTTTAGTAACTGGTGGTGTTAGTGGACAGTATAGCGTAACTTGTAGTTCCTTGGTCTAGTTCCTTGGTCTTCCTCTAAAATACAAATAATAATATTAATGTGGAAAGGAAAAGGACATATGGATGCGAGTTAAGAGTAACTCTCCATCACTGTAACTGGATTATGTCCTTTTCCTTTCCACATTTATTTATGGCTCAACATCCGAGTTTCAAATAATATTAATAATAAAAAATAATATGTCACTACCACACAGGAAACTGTACGTACGATCTATGTAGACATATGCATCCATCGAGAAAGCGGCATGGCCAAACTTTCCAAAAGCCGTCTGAGAGGACATGCGGAACTTGTAATGGCGACTGGACGCGAGGTTAACATGTCCTTCTAATCTGGTTCTTGACGTGTTAACCACCGCGGAGTATTGCTCGTCCCTTTCAGCAAATTCAACGGAAATACTGTGAGACCCTTGAAGCGTTGGTAGTGGCACGACCACTTGTGGAGGGCTGTATCCTAGGGGAGAGATTGAAGGTTGAGTGGCCCAGATGTAGTTAGGGAAACCTGGGAGGCATGGAAGACATACAAGCAAACTTAGGAAGTATTGTTTTTACCCATTTCTATTACCTTTTTGTGCAGAGTTAAAATTGTCATCGTAGTTTGATCCCTGGTGATGTTTGTGCCTGGAGAGCACTATATAAGTGGTGCTCCTCAGGCACTATCTTCCTCAGCCTACTCAAGCTAAACTGATTAGGGGTGAATTCCCCGAAACAATGTGTATTGAGCAGGGAGTGGTGCTTTCTTGCAGGTTTGCCGAGTGGACGGTACAATGGACTTCTCGTGTGCTCTGGGAGCAGTCGTGAGTCAGTCAAGTGAGAATTCAAGTCGGCAGGAAGACCGCGAGCTCCCATATAGGGAGCAACACACTCTTCCCCTACTGTCGCCGAAGTCGCACCAACCTCTTCTTAACATCATAATTTTCATTGCAATATTATTCAATAGGTTTAATGGCCTGGGTTGTGCACCTGCAGACGGCATCAGGAACAGCATTATGCTTAGCAAAAATAGAAAATTCTTAATCTAACCAGTAAACACACACGCACGCCCAAGTACAACCATGGATAAGCCAGTAGATCCAAACAAATCACACCCACAAGGAAAAGTTTGTTTGAGTGTTTTCAATTCGGTTTTGGTTCGAACACGGTCGGGTATCAACCCTCAAGAAGAAAGAGAGAGAGAGAGAGAGAGAGAGAGAGAGAGAGAGAATGAGAGAGAGGGAGAGAAAGAGAAAGAGAAAAACTGGGTGGGGGGAGTGGGAGAAGGGAGAGTACAAGAGAGGAAGATAGAGAGCGAGAAAGAATAGAGAAAAAGGAACAGTGAAAGCCATTGCAGACTTGAACGCTCACCAGCTGATGGTATTCCCGTGGACACAATTGAGTAAGTGTTTCGGTGAGGTGTGTGTAAGTTAACTCGAGATCGGAAATTGGTTCCCACATGTCCATCGTCCACCACCACCATGACCAGTAAGTATGGAACTGGGTTGAGAGTTTTCGTGAAATTGTGCGTCGGGTACCAGGCCTTTTGGAATTGGTCATAATACTCAACCTCTACTTCCACCTGGCGGATACTGGGGTCGAGAGACATGTTTGTTGAGTGCTCCATAACATCTGCCACACATGATCAGCAAGCGAACACACATATTGCAAATAGGACAGTCAATAAACAGCCAGTTCTAAAAGCCGAATGGTGCCGTTAGCATTTTACTGAAATGTTAAACTTTTAAGAGTCTGGTACTGTCGGCAGAAAAAACTTCCGGCTCTTTGTCAACATCTTGAGAGGTTTCATGAGTATACTCTCCAGCCTTCTCGTCAGGTGAAATACAGGCAACCTGGGGAGAAGGCTTGAATGTATACTCGCGAGAGCCCTCAAGATACTGACTAAGAGCCTGAAGTGTGTGTTTTCTCCTAAGTTTAGTATTATTGCATTCTTGTCTCCAAATAAAGTGTTCTAAGATTGCAGCTCACCATTAAAAAATATTCTTCCCGGCCAGGCAAGGTCATGACCATGAACACAATCGCCCGTGTTTAATATTAGATTTTGGACAAGAAATTTCAACCGTAAAGAGCTCTACATTTTACTGTTAATGATGTTCACGCACATATCAACACGCCGCTACGAAAGATACATCAGGAAGAAGCTTCGAGGATAATGTAAAGGTGTTTGTGTGGCCATAATCTTCGGTAATCGAACCCGCAATCTCTGGATTGGAAATTGATTGCATATATGTAAGACTTCACCATATTTGACATACCCTCAAACAACTCACCAAGATGAACACAAAACAAGTGAGTGCATGCGCGCATGTGCGCACACACACAACCATACCAACACACACACACACGCACACGCACACACATACACACACACACACACATACACACACACACACACACACACACATACACACACACACATACACACATACACACACAAACACACACACATACACACACATACACACACATACACACACACACACACACACACACACACACACACACACACACACACAAGCATAACCAAACAGGCGCCCAGTGCAGTAACTTACATCGGCAACGTTTTCCGGCTCCTCCAACCACGCATGTCTTTCCGTGCGTACAGACCAGATCGCAAGCACCTTGAAAAACAAACACATGGACAAGTGACAATCACTTATCGAGAGCATGTCTGCGAAAACTGAAGTGTGCCAAGTAGGTTTCATTTGGGTTGTGTACGACTCCTTTTCTACGTCTATACCACATGCTGCAACACGGTGAAGATCACAGTTCTCGTTGGAACATTTTCGAAATGAGTGGGGTACAATTTAAGTCAATGTATGAGACCTGTTAGCATCAACGGTCACATAAACGCAATAATATTCCCTCCCTCCCTGCTTTCAAAAAAGGAATTTACTCACTGCTGATTAACTCAATCTGCTCCTGCAGCGCTCACCCTTTCCCATACTTGTAAAATTCAAACTGGCTTGAATTACTTTCCAACTGCATAACCCAGAGCCCCACTCACAGCACCTCACCTTCTCATAATCCTAACTCGTATTGGCAATGATGCCATTGTGAGAATAAAGAATTTAAAGACAAACTGATAATGCTAGGAATAGCTTGTCGTTTCCAGTGACAAGTGACCACCTGTGTTGCTTTTTTCTTATAAGAGTGATAACAAAACACTTTGTTCCTGAGCATCCAGAGTAGAGATGGAGTGAACTTTACAACCGCTGCTGCGGGCAACAGCCAGCTTTCAGAATAAACATGAGTTTGGAGTCGGATGGAGAGCCAATGATCAATATATAGAAAAGAAAAAGGACCAAAGAACTACAAGTTAGCCAGTTAGTTGTAGGGCGTCAGTTCCGTCGGTCAGTGTCGTGCAATGCTATCGCATGAGCTGATTGTTTAGTGACTGGTGGTGTTAGTGGACATTATAGCGTGACTTGTAGTTCCTTGGTCCTTTCTCAATTTCTAAAAACATGAGTTTGGCCGTAGTTAAAAGCGGGATGGATTGGTACAGGCACAAATCCCCTTTGCAAACAAATACGCTCTGTGTCCTCCCTCATGCTGTTCCCAAAGCTCTGCGGCAAAATCGGTCTATGTTTACAGTCAACTTTGCGTATAATGACACTCGACGGGGCATCAGAAAAGTGTCCTTATTTGCGAAGTCTCATAAGATGCATTACAGTTATATGGGACTTTTGCTCTAGGCATGGACATTCTGTCATTTTTCGCGAATTGCCATTAAATTCCACAGTCGTTATCTGCGAAGTTCAGGGCTCACGGTTGTGTACAAATACGTGGGCGCCATTTTGTTTCTGGCCAGCTCACGCGACGACAGGTCCACTGTCACGCGACCACAGCTCGACCACCCCTTGTACACAAACTCTAGCCATCTCGCAGCACATTTTCAGTGCGAAACATGCCTCTTCAAAATAGAATAAGGTAGCACGGGTAGACAGTACAACACTGAAAATTTGGGTGGAACCAGGCAAGATGTGAACTAGGGGCTCAACCGAAGGAATTTTTGATTTTGGCCCTGGGAAACTAAAGATATGGTCACAAAGTCGGTGAATGCTCTACAGTGATCCCTTCATCTAGAAAAAAATCGCTTCGGTTAAACTGTAGCTCAGTATCTACTGAAGATTTTGAGCCATCGATTGTCAAAATCGGCCAATATTGTGCTACCTTATACTGTTTTGAAGTGAGCTAAGTCGGCAGGGGCGCACGCGAACTCCTGTGCGCGACGACAAGGAAGGAAGCCCGTGCATATGCGTTGTACGATGCGGAAACTACACCAGCGAGGCAGCAGCAAGGCGTTTTTTGCAATGTTTCCTCCGTGACTGAAAAACTCTTGAAATATTATTCACCGTTTGCTGTCTCGCTCATCGGCGCTCTACTGCTGTGTGCTTCAGCAGCTATGGCGAACCAAAAATACATGACCAGTACAACGGCGAAGCCATTTGATTCGTCCTCTTGCAACGAAACAGAGTGGCAAATCAAATAATTCACAACTCTCCATCGTCACTTCTCACAGCAGCGTGGCACGGCTCTTTCACTCGTGTAAGTGCATTTACAAAACGCTCTGAGAACAGAGATAACGAACTAGAACACGGTGTGAGTCTTTGCTTCATTCCATCAAGGAGCTCTTGTCCTCTACCTCTCCTCACCTGCGCCAGTGCATCAGCGGACGACATAGATGTCGATCCCTTTCTCAGCAAATAAAAGACTCGGCGGTAGAACTCGCGACTTCTCATCGCAGGACTCAGCGTTCGAACGAACTGTCTGAAGCCTTCGGCTTACGAGGCCAGCACTGCTCGCAACACACTCGCTCAGAAAGAAGCAATAACAACGACAGTGAACGGCAACCAAAGTGAAACGCAAGTCCCCAGCCGGTCTCCGTCTTCCTCAGTTCTACTTCTTCTTGTCAGTCACCAGGTCACTGCAAGTCTCTCTCGAGTCCTTGCTGTGCTCCGCGCCGCGTAGGCGTCCACTGCCGCATGCATAGCTCGAGTCACGCGAGCTCATTTCTATGGTGATCAGATTTCAAGATGTCCTCCCATGTAATCGAGTTTTGGCATCCCAACCGTGAGCCCTGAAGTTGACTGTGTTCCTGTTTCAAATATTACTTTTGCACATATGCAGTCGCATGACGTGACGATGTGAAATCTCACCATTGGCACATGCCCATACAAAGCACGGAGATATGCGTGTTAAAAAGAGAGAACCTTGAGTTTGCAAGTTATCCGTTTTGTCCAATACTAACGATTATAAGCAGGATACTGTTGAGTCAAAAATAATGTGCAAAAATTAGCAAAGAACTGACTGATGAAAATTATGACATTCAACGACCTGATGCTTAGCTGCATCACGTCTGCAATCTTCAATAAACAGTATTCTGCTTATATTCACTAGTGTTAGACAAAATGGATAATTTGTAAACTTAAACGGTCATTTTAAGTTTAATACTTAGCTCTGCATCCGAGTTTAAATAGGTGTGTAGAAATTGTTTACTTACCTTTCACCTTAATCCCGCATGCTTCACAGCAGCCTCTCCTGGTTTCAGAACAGAAGTGTTGCTCACATGGTGCCGTGGAGGGACAAACGTTCACTCCGCTCTATTGGCAATCGGTACAAAGCAGAGAACAATACAGGTCTTCGAGCGCTGGTGCTAATTGCGCCAAAGAGTATTAGTGTTTGTATTTATGGTGGAAATAGCATGCCGTGGTATTCCATGAGGTTGAATTCTGTGGGTAGTAGGTATTTTACTGTTGCGTATAGAGTTAGCAAAGTGTAATTCGAAGTTCACTGTGCACTGTGCTGGTCAGTTCAGCTTGCATGAGCAGACTGTGCCGGTCAGTTCAGTATCCGTGAAATCTGTGTCTAAGGTCCATAGCGCAACTCTGCGTGACCATGAATGAGAGCGTTTTGACATACATATTGTGTTGTGGGTTCATGTTTGGATAATTAGAATGTCCGGATAATTAGAGGTTTTTTCCTGGCATTTTGAGGTTCGAATTATCAGAATTCCACCTGTACTCACTTCACATGTGCAAATATCACGTCCACAGACATTCGGGTACCGCGCGCCATTAAAATACTTGCTTCCCATATACTTGCATTGTGCTGCAGTCAATAAAAACAAATTGACGTCAAAGTCAGCTTGAGCTGACGTAAGAAAAACACATCACTTGAACATCCAGTTGATTTAGATGAGTGACCTGAGCTGCCCCATTCATATTTCATGTCAGACCGAGATACTATTGTCCAGAAGGTTGTCAAGTGGTTAAAAGGAAAGGCCTGTGGAGTTTAGGGCGCCGATGGTGTCAAATATTGTTGCTCCCACTATATCTGCAACAATGCGTGTAAGAGATTTTTGGATTATCTATATGTAAATCTTGGAGGGCTGTGCCATGACACAATGCTAACCCTACAACCAACCCCCCCCCCCCCCTTCTGCAATGCCATAGTGAACAGCCACATGTAGGATAAAAAAATGCGTAAAAGCAAAAGTGAAAATGCTTTTCCAAGGGATGAACAACCTATATACGCTGCTGAAAATATGACCCTTCGTTATAGTGCCACTATGAAAGGAGTAGGAGCTCTACGTAATGATGTAGCGATCTCTCTTCCCTTTTGCGCCACTCTCTGTCTCTCCATTGTCTGTGATCTGTGTCCCTATCTCCCTTTCTAGAGGTATATATCGTAATCGTTCTCTCTTCCTTACTCTCTCTCTCTCTCTCTCTCAACCCCTCTCTCTCTCACTATCTCTCTGTGTCTCTGTGTCTCTGTGTCTCTGTGTCTCTGTGTCTCTGTCTCTGTGTGTCCCTGTCTCTGTGTCTCTGTGTCTCTGTCTCTCTCTCCTTCTCCCTCCCTCCCTCCCTCTGTCTCTGTGTGTGCCTCTCTCTCTATCTCTGTGTGTGTCTCTCTCTCTATCTCTATCTATCTATCTCTCTCTATCTCTCTATCTCTCTATCTATCTCTCTATCTCCCTCCCTCCCCCCCCCCTCTCTCTACTTCTCCCTCTAACCCCCCCCTCTCTCTCTCTCTCACTCACTCACTCTCTCTCTCTCTCTCTCTCTCTCTCTCTCTCTCTCTCTCTCTCTCTCTCGCTCTCTCGCTCTCTCTCGCTCTCTCTCTAAATCTCTAAATCTCTCACTTTCTCTCTCTCTCTCTCTCTCTCTCTCAATCTCAAAGCTCTCAACCGCTCTCCCTATATCTCGCTATGTTCCTCTCTTTATTCACCTACCGCCTCCCTCTCACAGGATGGCGATGTTGCATGAAACGCCGTCTACAGTCCATTCATTGGAAACTGGCACCCTAACTTTTTGGTGTCTCTCACTTAGTTGTAGATATCGTGCAAACAACAGTACATCCTGCATTGTGTGACCCGTGCAATTACTCCTTGCCACATTTGAGGCCAGAAAAGTCCAAGAACAGAGAAATAGAAATTCAGCCATGTTTTACAAAATTAGGACAGGTATGCCATGGCAAAATGTATGGAGAAGCAGATCCAAAACCAAGATTTTTTAGATTTAAAGTGGGTTTTTGATCCTCAATTCGGCCCAAGTCCGACTTTCAAAAGCCAGCGGGCCAGTTTCCGATGAATGGACTGTAGCTCTGCCTTCTCCGGGTCTCTACATGGGTGAACTGATAGGAGGTTCTCCCACAATAAAACTGTGACGGCAGGTCCGCAATACATCAAGGAATGGTAGAAATGATAACAGCCACGCAGTACCACATTATCAATGAACAAGCTGCGCGTACCTCCAATCGTGAAAGTCCCTAGCATTGACAAGCCAGCATCACCAAAGGTGCCGAGAGCTGCAACACTTGAAAAACGGAACTTGTAATGGCGAGTGGCCGTGATATTTACACGCTGTGCCAATGTCTTGCCAGATGTGGTAAACACCTCCGGAACAGATTGGTGAAAGGTGCTGAATTGGACGGTCAGATTAGGCGACCCTTGAATAGTTGGTAGTAGTAAGATCAATTGTGGAGGCTGGGCTCCTAAGGGCGATACTATCGGTGGAGTGGCCCAGCGGTAGTCGGGGTAACCTGGAATGGATGGAAAACAGACCAAGAAAGCAAACAAGAAGGCTAATTTGTTAAGAATGAGCAACAACGTTGTGTACATGCATACAAAAAGAGAATATTACACAGCATTGATATTTTCTTCATATCAACAAATGGACACACACAGCCATTGCCAAAGAAATCCAAACCGCGAGTCAAAAAGATGCGCCGCGTTCACATTTCAATTATCATGCATGCTCCAGAAACTCATCATGGGCCTTGCCGCTACTTTCGGCCCTCGGGTAAGATTTCTATGGCTATGAGTGTGCTTATACACACACGCGCACACCCGCACACACAAACACACACACACACACACACACACACACACACACACACACACCCGCGCACACACACACCCGCACACCCGCGCGCGCGCGCACACACACACACACACACACACACACACACACACACACACACACACACACACATACACACACACACACACAAACACACACAAACACACACACACACACACACACACACACATACACACACACCTGTCCTGTCCTGTAGAGTCACTGCCGCAAAAGGGTCACGTGATCCCATCACTGGGAAACTTGAGAAGAGAGAGAGAGAGAGAGAGGACACGACGCTCGATGACGCTCCAGGTGCACGGGTAGTCGCATCCGCTTGCCGCATATGCACACGTGCTGGAAGGCTGAGCGCTCCTCTGCTGTTGGCCTATGCGCCACCCTTGAACAGCGATGCCTGCCCCGTCCCCGGACACGGCGAAAGCAGCGACCACACCTGTCACCATGCGCGGCACAACATCCCTCCGCCGGTGCAGACGTTCCGGTAGTTCCAGGTGGCACTGCGGCATCCACCGTTGAGGCACACACATGCCGGACCAAGCCACCGCGGCTTCTCAGCCACCGCCCACACCGCCCGCACTGACTGGCGCCCCGCTGCTCAGACACAGGCCGCGCACGCTCTTCCAAATACTTATGCCGAGCCATGTCTCCTTTCCGTGCAAAATCCCGTCCGCATACCGTACATACCACTCGGGGCGGAGGCTCAGGCACATTGTCAGGCTCTTGGTAGGTGCTGCGCCACTCCGCGCGGGACTCACATGCAACATCATACCATGATGCCTCCACGCCACGGGCACGTAGATCCCGGACAGCACAGTCCTTCCATCTGCGGCGTGGGCCATGTGCTGGGCGACGCTGCAAGAAGGAGGCAAACAGTACCTGTTTTGGGATGCGGTTGTCCGGCATCCGCGCCACATGCCCCAACCACTCCAACCGCCGATGTGCAATTTTGTCTTTAATCGTCTCGGAGTCTCCCCAGCGCACCAGCAGCTCTTCGTTGGTGATGTGTTCGTCCCACATCCGGCTTCGAGAGACCCCGAGGATGGATCGGATGCACCTCATGCTGAAGGTTGAGAGCTTCTGCAGGTCACGTTGAAGGGGCGTCCAGCACTCAGAGCCATACAACAGCAGGGACAGAACGCAAGCATTGAATACGCACCGCTTGGTGTGCATCAGCAGATGTGGATTGGAGAATACAGACCTCCGAAGAGCACCGCAGGCCCTGGAGGCTTGGGCAATCCTTGCGGCGATGTCCCGGGACGAACGGCAACCGCTGTCCACTACAGAACCGAGGTATTTGAAATGCGGTACGCATTCCACCTCCGCTTGACCAAGTTGGAGGGGAGTGCGGTCAGTAGGCGTGATGTCGGGGCCAACAACTACAAACTGAGTCTTCGTTGCACTGATGGTCAAGCCGAATCCCGACGCCACCTCGTGAAGACAGCACAATACTGACCCCGCTCCAGACCGAGTCGTAGCGAATAGAGTCGTCAGCAAACTGGGAATCTGTTAGGCAATGGTGTTGGTCGTCACGGTGGGGTTTACGGTAAAGATCGCTGCTGTATGCTGAGCGGAGCTCGAAGCCAACCCCGTCAACTCTCCTGACGTGGTGTTGCCACTGGGTCATCACGGCCCACATAAAGATATTAAAAAGGACTGGCGCCATAGAGCACCCCTGGCGAAGACCATTGCCAATGTTGAACGGGTCTGATAATATGTTGTTGAACTGCACCGATGCTGACATGGGGTGGTGGAACGACCGGATGATGTTGATAAGCTTTTCTGGTACTCCCGCACGGCCGAGGACCTGCCACAGACACCCCCCGGGCACTGAATCATAGGCCTTCTTCAGGTCGATAAACACAAAAAATCCCTTGGCCTGATGTTCGATTGACTTTTCCATGAGCTGTCGGACGGTGAAGATCATGGCTGCTCTGACACACACACACGCACACACACACACACACACACACACACACACACACACGCACACACACACACACACACACACACACACACACACACACAGACACACACAAGCGTACACAAACCAACAGACCCACACACATCCTCCCTGCATGCAACAGCTGCTCAAAACCCCGTATTCCCTTGGCTTCACCGAGACATGTGTAAGGTGACACTGCAGAGAACCACCTTCACATGAGGTGGTTGGTTCCACCTGAATGTTGCCAGGCAACTTCTTTTGCAACGATTATCAGCATCCTGTGTGCTAATCTAGGGTTTTTATGTGTTTGTTTGTTTTGTGTGTTGTTTTACTTGGCACTTTAAACGGGAACTAGGCCTACTGACATAAAAAGGTGAATAGGGAAGGAAAGAAGCACTGGAGGAAAGGAAATGTTAGGTATGAAAAGTATCCTGCCAGTCAATACTAGTACCCAGGGACAACCCTGACCAGACGGCCAGGGCCAACCCGTGGACGAGGCCAACAAAGAGAAAACCTGGAGCTAACAAATCTGCTTCTTATCAGCAAAATGTTCGCACACACACATACACACACAAACACACACATGCATAAGCATGCACACACACCTTCTCAGTGGTTGTCACGTTTGTCCTTGTCTCAGTACCATTGTCTTTCTGTATTATTTATAAGTTGGGTATGTGAACATAATAAAAAACACACACACCCACACACCTCAAGCACTCGTCATGCTTCTCCATTCTCTATCATAACCATCGCACACACAAGCACACCCACCCACAAGTCTGCACATACATACACGCAAACACATACGCACACGCACGCACACACACACACACACACACACACACACACACACACACACACACACACACGAACTCCCCTCGCGGACGTCGAAGTAGACATTGCAGAGCGAGATCTAGAACGGACAGAGCGACTCCTATCAGAAGTTGCATCAAACATCAACACAGAAGCGATCCACATTTGGTTCACGCCTGAACGTCGAGGCAGGAATGCCAGCACTGAGTCCTCACCAGAGTTGGCAACTGGGGTGAAGAAGGATTCCCGGAAACCAACAAATCTAGCTCCAGGCTCACAATTTAGTCTGCTTGCCAGAGTCTAATCGTAATTTTTTTTTGAAATGCAGAACTATAAATAAAATGTAACACCCACAGCACCACCGGCACCTACTTCCTCGACCCAGTCACTGCGCCTCCTGGTGACTAATGCTTTTAGGTTAGCAAACAAATTTGGAGAATTTGTCCACACTGCCACGCATCACAATATTGACATCGCTGTTGTGACCGAGACCAAGTTTGATGCAACTATCATGCCAGTTGATGTGACGATCCCTGGCTACACGACGACTCGGAAGGACAAGAACGCCTTTGGAGGTGGAGTCGCAGTCTGGATGAAGTCAGAACTCTCGGTTGCCCATCTCCAAGAGCTGGAGAATGGAACTCCTGAGATCCTTTGGGTGTCTGTAGCCCTGGGGCATGATAGAAAAATGACTTTGGGAGCGGTTTACCGACCTGGAACATCAGCTGCAAATGACTTATCCCTAGTGGAGCACCTGGACCAGAACTGGGACAACATACGCAGTACTGACACCAACATTGTCATAGGGTGACTTCAATGTCCACCACGCCGAGTGGTTGCACAGTTCGAAGACGACCGCTGCCGGCGAGGCTTTAGAAGAACTCTGTGCAGCACACCAACTCACCCAGCACGTCGATAAGCCAACCCGAGGTAACAACAACCTGGACCTCATCCTCTCGGACTTTGTCTGTCCTGTCACAACCACAACTCATGCCCCACTAGGAAAATCAGACCATGCCGTGCTGATCTCAGTCTCTCCTCGGCGAGAGCCCGCCACTGTTAGAACACTATGGAGGAACAACCATGCAGACTGGGGTCGGTTCCGTGCCTTTCTGAGGGCGGCCGACTGGAACGTGATAGTTTCGGGTGATCCTGAGGAGTCCTGTTCTAGGCTCACACAAGTGATCAGCGCAGGCATAATGAAGTTTATCCCAAACCGAGAACATCACACTCACTCATCAGACCCACGCTGGTGGACCCCGGAATATGCTGATGCCTTACATGCAAAGGAAAGCGCCTGGGCAGCCTGACGACGTAACCCTGGCAACTTGGACATCAAGTCCTCATACATTGAGGCTGTCAACCTCTGCGCTGCCCGGTTCCAGCGGGCCAGAGTCTCCTTTGAGAGCCGGCTCCGCAACAAGCTCACGTCTGGATCACTTACGGACAAAGGGTGGTGGACTACGGTGAAGCAAGCTGCTGGTCTGAGCCGTGCAAGTGAGATCCCGCTACTTGTGGACCAAAATAAGGGGGAGTTCCACTCCAGCAATGACAAAGCCAACTGCTTAGCAAGATACTTTGCCATGAGGTGTAGTCTTGGAGATCGTGACATATCTCCAGACTCACTCCCTCCCAGTGCTCAACCTTTACATGGCAGCCTAGATCGTATCCATTTTCGACTGAGTGTCTGATGTCCAGCGACGGCTAGCCAGGCTCAACCCTTGCAAAGCCACTGGCCATGATGGCCTTCCAACTCGGGTCCTGAAGGAATGCTCTCGTGAGCTGGCCCCAGCAGTCACCAAGCTCTTCGAACTGTCCTTCCGATGTGGAATCCTGCCATGTAGCTGGAAGTTGGCGCATGTCGTGCCAGTGTTCCAAAAGAACTCCAAATCTAATCCGGCCAACTACCGCCTAGTGTCTCTTCTCTCGATCCTCTCCAAGGTAATGGAAGGCATCGTCAACTCGCAGGTGGTCAACCATCTTGAGCAGAATAGACTGCTTCCTGACAGCCAGTATGGATTCCGTAGAGGCAGGGGAACTGCTGATGTCCTGACAGCCCTGCAGAACGAATGTGTCCAGGCTGTTGCAAACGGTAGATCTGCTCAAGTGATAGCCGTGGATATAGGTGGCGCGTTCGATCGTGTGTCGCACACCGGTCTCCTGTACAAGATAGGACGGGCTGGCATCAGGGGTACACTACTGACTTGGCTTCAGGACTACCTACATAGCTGCCAACTGAAAGTTGTGGTCAGCGGTCAAGCTTCATCTGCTCAGCCTATCACCGCGGGAGTACCTCAGGGAAGTATCCTCGGGCCGACTCTATTTCTTATCTACGTCAGCGACGTCGACCAATGTCTTACCCCCGGAACGCGCCTTAGCTCCTTTGCTGATGACACCACGCTATACATCTTGTTGCAACCAGGAACTGCTGCTCCCCACAATGCCTCCTTATAATACATGGCCTTCAAGAGTGGGGTGAGCGGTGGCGGGTGACATTTGAGCCATTCAAGTCACAGCAGCTACTGTGCACACGATCCTTGGACCCAGCCACTCCTGGCATCTCATTTGGTGGTGTCGACATTGCCCAGGCATCAACACTGAAGCTGTTGGGTATATTGTTCGACTCAAAGCTCTCATTTTGCCAGCACATCAGCAGCATGGCGGTGAGAGCAAGTCAACGTCTTGGGCTTTTGCGCCGAGCTGCGCGGATACTTGACACCAATGGCCGCCTGAGTGTCTACCGAGGATTCATTCGCCCTATGCTGGAGTATGCTCCACTGGTCTGGATGTCTGCTGCCCCGACCCATCTGGCCAGGCTCGACCGCATTCAGCGGAAGGCAATGGCCATCATAGGACCAGATGTGCTCCTCCAGAGTCTGGCTGCACGACGCACTCTCTCTGGGCTGTGCTACATGTACAAGCTTAAGTGCATCGGAAGCCCACAACAGCTGACCAACATTGTCCCACCAGCTGCACCCACTGTGGTTCGTCCACGAACCCGACACACACATGCGGTGACCCATCCTCACCAGCTCCTCAATACCCTACCACCAGCTGCACCGGAGTACATCAGTCGGTCCTTCCCGTTTGCCCACATCAGTTTGTGGAATCAACTGCCACCCTCCCTGTTCCAGCCACCAATGCCCCTGCAACGGCTGCACCGCTTCAAGGCAGCTGCTGCACACACCTGCGACGAAGTTGCCAGCCACTCTGGTCTAGATTCACCCTGCCGTATCACTCGAGAGCTACCCATTGAGTACCAAGAGTACATAACCCCCCAGAGTGTGCAACTCCACTATGGGTGCTGTCCCGACAGAATTTCAAGTTGACGTCATTTTGATGATGCAATGCGCACTGTACACGGATTATCAGACGAATCCGGAACCTGTGGTTGACCGAAGCCGATCGATCCTGTACAAATTATTGCAAAGAAAAACGTGTGATGCGTTGACACCCGTACACATGTTGTAAATCACTGCTGCAAGGAGCATTGCGTCATAAATAATGACGTCAACTTGAAATTCTGTCGGGACAGCAGGGTATGTGGGAGTTGCACACTCTGGGGGGTTATGTACTCTTGCTACTACCCATCCATCTCTCAATCTCCCCCTTTTTCCACTATTATTACTCTCTTCTTGTTTTGTCTTGTTTTTTATTTTTTTATTTTTTTGTCTTTAGTCACTTTCTTATGTTGGCTCATTATAAACTTATGATTAATTTTGATGCATACATGGCACTGTGACGCCGAGACCCATGGTCGGCAGAGTCGTGAATTTCAGCAGCACAGCTATTAACTGACATTGTGGATAGCGCCTACCCAGTCCAATGTACCTTTGTCTTTCAACATGATTTGTAGGTTTGTGTTCTCCTTAAAAAAAACTTTAAAAAACACACACACACACACACACACACACACACACACAAACACACACACACACACAAACACACACACACACACACACACACACACAAACACACACACACACACACACACACACACACACACACACATGTTCTTCGAAGTACGTACCCTGTGACAAAACGTTTAAAGGGACTCCCCTAGCAAAACAATAAACGGCAGTACTGCTACTAGATGGCTTTCCGAACCAGGTCAGTTTCAACATGGAGGGAACAGAAATTAGCTTTAGTCTTGGCATGATGCTCTGCACTTGGGCTGGGTAGGAATTTCTTCCTGGCTGGATTCTGGTCGAAGATATGTATAGCATTAAACCGGTATTCACACGCCACTAGTCATGATTTTTATTCCAGTGTCAAGAAACGAGAGAGAAGTACAGGAAGAGAGAGAGAGCGAGAGAGTGAGAGAGAGAGAGAAAATAGAGAGAGACTCGGGGAGACAGCGTGGTAGAGCGAGAATGTGAAAAAGCGACCAAAGCAATATCCAACGCCATTGAAGATTTGAAGGCTTACCAGTTGGTGGAATTCCGGTGGACACCATTGAATACGTGGTTGGTCCATTATCGTAGGCGACGACTCTAGATCGGAAATAGGTTCCCTGATGTCCATTGTCCAACACAACTAAGACTTGAAGGTATGTGTTTCGGTATAGAGCCCTGGTGAACTGTTCTGTATGCATCCATTGACGACTGGCTTTGTCGAAGTACTGAACCTCCACTACCATGTTGTTGGAACTTGGGCCCACAGGTAAGTGGGTAGTGTGCTCCATTACATCTACAGCATATGATCGGCAAGTGAACACACATGAAGAAATCGAACAACCGGGTCTTAAGAGCCTCCAGTACACAGCACACTCAGACCTCGCTTACCGGGGCCGTAACTTTCGCCTACCTGCCTTCGCAATGGATATACTTCCTTCTGCGTCTCTACTTACATGGAGCACCCAAACCACGCCTGCCACTAGCCACTGTTTCTCCCGGTTTTAACACATAGTACTGTCTCTCTCCTATTGGCTACCGCCATCGTGAGAATAAAGATAAAGAAAGAAAAGAGATTTTTAAAAATTGTCTGTGACTCTAAAGAACACTCATTTAGACAGGGGGGGGGGGGGGGGAGCCATGCATGTGGCATATTACGTTGCTATTTTATTTCCACGAAAAGTAACAAATTAGTGGTGATAATTCTACTAAAACTCGTCCAAAGGGTACTATTATTATATTATTATATTATTAAAAGCATGTCCGCGTAGGTGGCGGGGGTGCCACTTTCGCTTATGCCATTCAGGATTGAAGTCTGAAGAGTAATACGATACAATGAAATGACAGAAGTGACGTCAACAAAAGCCGTTAGCAACAACACCAATATGACTAATGGAAAACTTCATCCAAAGTATAAAATAAAATAGAATATGCATACAACATGAAGGGGTACTGGGCAGTACAAAGTGCCCGGAACTTCTGGGTCCGGATAACCAAGGTATCAGTGTATTCACAATCCTGTCTTCCCGACCAGGCAAGATCGTCATGAGATTTCTGACGTAAAATGTCAATCCCACAACGCACCAGAGCGGCTCAATTCCACAAAGCGCTGCAAGCGAAATAGAAAAACTTCCTCATGGCGAACTGAATAATGTCTTGGTTGTGGGCAACATGGCCAGAATTTCAGACGCCGGTCTGTCGGGTTTCCTTTTTCTATTTCCAGATATAACTTGTGCATAATGGCGGGGTCTAAAAAATTTGCTGACGACAGCCAACCAGTTTAAAATATGCAGAACATGACCAACGCATATGGCCGATTGGTTTGCAGGCCTGCCTGCGAATCATGAGGTCCCGAGCTCAAGACCCGCGCTGGTAGCAGTGAGCGTGTGAAAAGACTTTTTACGCGTGCTGAACTGCGCCGACACCCACGGTCAACTGGGTACTCACAGCTCGGAGTGGGAATAACAAGGATGCAGTTTACAGGGTTATGGGCCGTTACACGCCCGATTGGTTGAGAGACTAACCTCCTCTCCCCTGACTCACTTGTGAGGTCTGCATTCGCCACTAAGGTTAATTGGCATAGTGGTGGCCTGCGGATGCGAAGGCTAGTTTGTGTGTTTCTGAACATTCAAGCGATGCCGACGCGGATCCCGCGAATATTATTATTATTAGAACATGATTATAGCCGTTCGTGATTGTGATACTACACCCTACACCTAGCAATGTCAGCTTGATGTTTATTTATTTATTTATTTATTTATTACAGCATCTCATGGCACAGTGAGAACACCGGCCAACACAAAGAGAGAGAGGGTGTTAGCCAACCACGGCAAGGAAGGGAGAAGGGGAGGAGAAGAAAAAAGGAAACGGCATGTTAAGGGACGATCGTGGATTTCCTGAGTTTGGCCTTATCGTCACGTATTTGCCCAAATCAACATTCAAAAAGAGAGGATCGGAAAAGCAATCCATTCCAAACACTGGTTGAAAGAGGGTCTATTGTTGATAAAAAAAGGAGGACAAAATGTTACGAGTTATGATTACCCAGATCATAATATACAGCCAGCGAATTTGGAAGGTTGTTGGTTTGTGCCTTGGAGAAGTGTTGGAGCTAAGTGTCAGGTCACTGAATTTCTCAGTACTCCTTGTCAGTTTGTGCCATTTTTGTCGCACTCGCTGACTGTATATAATCTGGTTACGTTGGTGGACAGCTAGTCATAACTCATAACCTTTTGTCCTTCTCCTTTTTTACCATAATTAAATTGGCTCACCATCCGAGTTCAACTTTCTTTTTTTGAACCCTGAAGAGTCAACTGGTGCATCCACAGATGCACGCGCTTGTTCGCATGCATACCCCCAAAGCACACTCACCCACCCACACCCACACCCACAAACATACACCGACATGAGCAACCCCCCCCCCCCCCACACACACACATGCAAACAGAAACAGACAGACACACAACAAAAACAGACACGAGGGTGTAATAGCGTACCCATGTCTTCGCACACAACTATGACGCGCATGCACAGATACAAACACGCAGCATACACGCACGTATCCAAAGACACACAGACATACACCCATACAGTAAAACGTCGAGTAAGCTACCCCTGTGTTTAGCGACCACCTGCTCTTAACGGACGTTTTCCATGCACCGACAGTTCCACACAGACACTGTGGGACCTGGTTCTAAAGACCACCTGGCTTTAATGACCGCTTTCGCTTGCACCGTGGGGTGGTCGCTTAAATCAGGTCTTACTCTACATATACGCAGCAAAAAATAAAAAATTTAAATTTCACGGCTCGCGTGAGACTCGGCTGGAAGCCCAGTTTTCCGCATCCGTCGTGGGAACGCCACCACCCTCTAGGATCAAAGGCGCAGATGCAGCAAACCGATATAATATATTATATATAGACACACACATAACAGCAGAACACACACAATCAGCAAACTCACTCACTCAAATATCGCGCACAAAATCTATAAACTGTCTCACGAGCACACTCAGATGCACAGACAGATGCACTCATACAGACCCACACACTTACAAGCTCAAACACACACACAACACCAAGTGCATGCAGTATGGCTGATGTTCACGCACTTACATCGGCAGCTTTTCTTACGGGCTCCTCCAAACACACACGTCTTTCCCAGCGTACAGTTCAGATCACAAGAACCTTGAAAGGGGAAACACAGCGGGAGGTCGCGAACAAGTAGACTGAAGGCATGACTGAAAATACCAAAGATTTACTTTAAGTGGACCTTCCCGAAATCGCTCGAACGTTTGCATTAGTGGTGTGCACAGATAGTCGGGTACCCGACTATCCGTGAAGACCTCGGGTAGTCGGGTACAGAATAGTACCCGAAAACCGAAGTCGCAGATGACATCCTGTACAGTGCACGTGTACAAATTCATGAATACTCCGCATGTCTACCCAGTGTGCAAGGGAAGGGGTGCATTGTGGTGTTACCATGGAACCATTACTCGATAGGGTGCCCGTGCTACACGTTGAAAACTACCCGAACCCGATACCCGAAGAAAATGCTACCCGACTCAGCCCTAGTACAAATGTAGGTCTCCCACGTGTTTGTATGACTTCTCTTCTGCAGCTCAATGTACAGCATCAACATGGGAAATCAGGGGCATAGCAGGTCCCCCTTTTTAGGGAGTGTACAGCTAGGATGACTGACTGGTGCATGCCATTTTGTATTTGTATTTGTATTTATGGATTCTCCACAGGCCTAAGCCTAAATCGACGGGTCTCCGTCAACAGCTTATGAAGATTAAACTGGGGAGAGAAATGGAGGCAAGAGATAGAAAGATGCGAGGTGGCAGTAACGGTGACTAGTGTGCACTGGGTCTGTGGGGTGTTGGGGGGGGGGGGGGGGGGGGAGGGAGCGTGCACAGGCCAGGCCGTACACTGCAGACTTTTCCGCGGTGTGTGTGTGGGGGGGGGAGCGTGCACAGGCCAGGCCGTACACTGCAGACTTTTCCGCGGTGTGTGTGTGTGGGGGGGGGGGGGGGGAGCGTGCACAGGCCAGGCCGTACACTGCAGACTTTTCCGCTATGACTCTCCGGTGAAAGAACGACAAGTTATGGAGGACTTGGGCACACTTCGGCAGAAGTCTAGTGGCGAACACCAGCATAGATTTCCTTTTCATGAAATGTTGAAAACCTTAAAGAACATGAGGCATCAGACCTGGGATATGGTCACACAGACACGGTAAATATTCTTGTGTGTGTAGGATCTTACCCTGAATCCCGCATGGTTCGCAACAACTCCTCGAGTCTTCAGAACAGAACTGTCGCTCACATGGCGGCGTAAACGGGCAAACGTTGACTCCGCGCTGTCAACATTCAGAACATAGTGCCGAAGAAAGAACTAAGCTCAGAGCAGCGCCTTAATTCATTTCACTAGCCCCTGTGCATTAGGAAAGCGGGCCACCTGCCTCGTACTGCTTTTGTCTTTCTCCGAATCTCAATACGGTTAGACCTCGCTTATCCGGTCCTCGTTTATCCGGATCCCTCGCCATGCGGAAGAAAACCGTAGGTTACCGATTTACAGCATATGTCATGCATACATACAGTATGTGTGTTTGATTATCCGATTCTCTCGCCTATCCAGATAGTTTTGTGGAAAACAGATGCGTGTACGAAAGGGAGAAAAAGCGTCACGCCCCATTTCTTAGGACTTTGAAATTGTTGGTGAAGGCCAAATTTGAAATTGCATTTAGAACTTAGGTGTGGACAATAGAAGAAAGGCATGCATGTAACCAAATGCATACAGGAAGACGGTATGCAGGTGCATTGGACAGTTGACAACTAGACATCCAACCAACCAACCAACTATGTGTACTGGGTTGGGTATAGGGTTGAGGGGGTTCCCCTAGACAACCCCTACAGTCGCAAAATCCAATCAAGAATTCATTTTTGGTGCCGTCAATTATAATTGTGGCACCTTCTTGACGCCATGGAAGTGGTATGAATGCCACTGGACATACACATGTACAAAATAACATTGATGTAATGGGAACTAGCGCCGGCTTCTACCTTTGCACTGTTGGATTTCTCCGAGCGCAACTGTAGTTCGGGTTGTCCTCCTCTAACATGACATTTGCCAATAACACACTGCAGTGGAGTGCCTGTAGCCTCACCAGCAATACTAGTATCTGTCACTGTGTCGACCGCCATTCAACGTATTGTCCTCCTCAAACCACACCCCAACTCTCTCTCTTTCTCTCTCTCTCTCTCTCTCTCTCTCTCTCTCTCTCTCTCTCGCTCTCTCTCTCTCTCTCTCTCTCTCGCTCTCTCTCTCTCTCTCTCTCTCTCTCTCTCTCGCTCTCTCTCTCTCTCTCTCTCTCTCTCTCTCTCTCTCTCTCTCTTATGTGTCTTGTCTTAGTCTTTTTTCTTTGTCAGCTTTCGTGGTGGTTGTGCTTTTCAAATATATAAAAAATATGTAAAACAATGTTGGATGGAATCCGGAGTCTTCTCGACGTAATCCTATCAATCCTACGCAAATACACTGGGCGGGGGTTGTCCATACATGCAATACAATCATTCGTATTCAATGGTCTTCCAACGCCCCACCTTTCCCCGTGTGCTCCTTCAATACAGTCTCACTAGCTGTGCGAAATAGTACCGTGCGTTCCCTGTTTCCAGTACACGTACAGCAAGACCTGTTACCACCGCACCACTCGTTGGGGCCGGAGAAAGCGGTCTTTAGTGGCAGGTGGTCTTTAGTTAGAGGTTTGCACCGCAAAACCCTGTGTCAATGTGAGGCCGTCCGTGCCTGACAAAGTGGTCTGTAGTACCAGGCCTGGCGCTGGTCACCGTGGTCTCAGGGTACAGGTTTTACTGTAGATCATTTTCCATTTCTTTTGCAACCCTACTCATCTCAAGCTGTGTACATGTACTTCTTGGGCATCTACTACTTTGCAGAGTAGAGCAGAGACAACGAAAGCTTAGAAAAGCTGCGACGAACTTGGCCAGTTGAAGAACAGTTGGAAGCCCACCAGCAATGTACACTTCACTCTTGGCTCCTGTCCATCGCGAAACAGGGAATAAATTCGTTCGTGGATAGATGTTGCGCAGCTTCAAGACAGCTGTGTCGCTCATTGAGAGCTCAAGAGATCCTGACTGGAGATAGGCCCCAAATGAATATTGGATATCGCCTGGTACAGTGTAATGGCATAGCCATGGGTTCCAACAACTGGTCCCATAGTCATGTGACCACGAGCTGAGACAATGCACCTACTTGGTCCGCCAAGTTAAAATTGGCGCTTATCTTCTCACTTGGTTTTTCGGTGTTCTGCCTGTGTCACACGGCATGGAACCACCGATTCACCATTCGAACATAACCATTGACCATTGCATCCGACGACATGGCAGCACAAACCATCACAGAAGTTGCGATCGGTTCGTTTGAGTCTTTTTGACGGAGCTGCCGCCGACGAAAACTTCCGCCAGCGCGAGAAAACACTGCAACCTCCGCTCGAGTCCGTAAAATAGGTCAGGATGTTCACATTTCAGAGCGATGGAGAATACAGCTTCTGTCTACTTCAAGCTGTCTGATGGCAAGGATCGTTTACCCTGGGGAGGTATAGAAAAGCTGAAAAAGCGCTTCGCGAGCTTGAATTTCAGTGCTTGCACAGTACAGCGCCTAGTGAAGGGCTATCACCACCAAATCACTGACGAAGAAACTGCAGCTCGTGTTGACATCTCCAGAAAGTGAGACCAATCCGGCGGACACACTTTGAAGCTCACAGAGGACAGGGCAAAGGAGCTAATCAAAGAAAACGCCAAGTCCTGAGGGAAACACTCGTGCAAAGGACTCATCTTAAACATTGTCATTGGTCATGTTCAGTCCGTTCGGTTTGCAAATTCAAATAAACACAACCAAACCAACCAAACCACCAAACACAGACGCATTATTGCGACGAACGGGGATAACACTTACAGTCAACATGCGGGCAGTCTCACTCAGCTTCTGATCGGCAAGGTGACAGGCACGCACTGCCTTAGAGCGTGATTCGAGACGAGGAGAAGTGGAACAAGCTATGCAACATGCAGCAGCTGTCCGGATCGAACTTTTTGAGCTCTTTCTCCAGCGACGATAGTGGCGAGGAGAATGTGTAACTTGCTTTAGTTTTCGACTGAGTTGCTTACTGACATGTAAATAATCATGTTTATAGGGCTTTGTGATCATGTGATGCTTCAAATATTTGTATTTCCTTCCTGAAACAAGTGTAAAGATAAGCGCCAATTGTAACTGGGCGGACCAAGTATAAATATATTCATTCCAGGGTTCTAGCCAGGTCAATATAGTAGGGGGGCGGGCATGGGAAAAAGGTACCCCATGACCCATTTTTCCATTGTCCAAAATTGTCTTGCCATGCAAAATGCAACATGCAGGGTGAACCCCCGACTTCACCCCTCACAAATGTGCCTTTAGGAACCCTCTAGTAATGACTAGCGACTGTATTTTCGTTGAATGGTGTGATAAAAACACAAAAATCGGAAAATGAGTAGGGGCGGCACTTTTTCACAAGGGGGCATGCAAACGGAGTAGGGGGGGGGGGGGGGTAGCGCTGCGCCCCCCCCCCCCCTCCCCCCTACCCCCTACCCGCCTTTGGCTAGAACCCTGCATTCGCTTATCCGATATTCGTTCCGTATATACACCTGATGCGGTCACATGTACGGGGCAACAAACATAATTTCTAAATTGTTAAGGGGAATCATCATAGTTCTGTTTCCTTCGAAAACTCCTGCAACTCTGCATCCAGGCCTTCCCTTCTGTGCCTGTCTAAATATATACTATGTTTTGAATCCGTTGATCCCCGAGCTGCAGAGAGTGCTCAATGTCAGAGACAGAGCTTAGTACATAGCAGACTCAGCGGAGGACGTTCAGTTGTCTGATGATTGCCTAGCGGCATGAAACTCAGAGTTACAACCAACCTGAACGTCCTCCGCTGAGTCTGCTATATACTATGTTTTAGAAGGTTTCGCTGGACAGGACTTTGGAAATATAACTTACATTGCATTTGCATGAACCTTGTGCACAGGTGTTGGGAATCTCACCGCGGTCAGCATAAACCTTTCCCGTATACGTGCATGTACCTGCAGTCCAAAATCACATCAAATCAAAAGATCACATCAAATCAAAAGATCAAATCAAATCAAAAGATCACATCAAATCAAAAGATCACATCAAATCAAAAGATCACATCAAATCAAAAGATCACATCAAATCAAAAGATCACATCAAATTCAACTTCAGAAAATTCAAAGCAAAACGCATCGCGTTCTTGTCCACGTACTTTGCATGTGCGACCGTGGTTCAAAAAATGAAAGGCGTTCGCTTTCCGCAGCCAACCTCTCTTGTCCCAAAGTGTAACAGCTGATAAAGGTATGTAGCCATGGCAACCCCGCTAGCGACAGTCCTATTACTGGCATTGATAGTGTCAATGTTGCTGGCTCCTGCCGTGTCTGCGATGGTTGTCTTTGTGATGGTGCCTGTGCTGGATTTGTTGCAAGTACACATACGGCTTCTGGTTGCACTGGCGGCAGGAGTATGCGTGTGTGTGTGTGTGTGTGTGTGTGTGTGTGTGTGTGTGTGTGTGTGTGTGTGTGTGTGTGTGTGTGTGTGTGTGTGTGTGTGTGCGTGTGTGTGTGCATGTGTGCGAGTGTGTGTGTTTGTGTTTGTGTGTGTGCAGCATTATGGGAATAATGCAGATTAGTGGGTGCACGCAGCTTTGCGCTTCCATTCAATCTATGCTGCTATATTTGATAGTGCTGTTACTGCATGCTCGTGCTTTGCTGCTGGCTACGGTCGCATGCTCTGCACATCACCATGATCACGGTGATACTGCACATCACGGTGTGGTACTCTGTGCGGCTTGGCGCTCTACCTGATATTGAATGTGTCTCTTTACGTGACATTGAACGTGTCTCTGTACGTGGCGTTCATACGTGACGCTCGCCTCCGATGTCGTGGTGTGTGGCGCGGCGTCTTTATGGCGTTTGCATGTGGCGCTCCACGTGGGCGACATGCATGACTTCCTAGAGTTTGCCCCATTATATATTTCGATCCGTCCTGTGTGTGGATTATTCTTGTTTGCCCGTAGTGTTTTACCCTCACACCCAGTCCCATTCTCATCACTACACATAGTTTACTTTGATAAAGTGAATAAACGGGGTGTTGGCCACGCTCATTTCCGGCTACTCAGGGACCTTGGTTGCCGTCCCTCAGACCCAGACTCTCATAGATACTCGGCTCCACCAAGATTCTGCTCTGGCAGTGTCTACCCGGCCGACCCTGAATCCTCTCTCGTAGATACTTGGCTCCGCCAACATTCTGCTCCGGCAGTGTCTACGCCTTTCTTTCCTTAGCCTCTCACTCCACTGGCCGACACTCCCCGTACTGCAAGTTGCTATTTGTGGTAGTTAATGTGTGTGTGAGTGTGTGTGAGTGTGTGTGTGTGTGTGTGTGTGAGTGTGTGTGTGTGTGTGTGCGTGCGTGCGTGCGTGCGTGCGTGCGTGTGTGGTGGATACCAGGCTAAAAATAGTGGCGGTCAATTCATCAGCCTTGCAAGCTGTTGAATGGTGTGATCCCAGCATAAGTTGCTATGTCTAACATAGCTGTTCGCTATCATCGCTTCCGCGATGGGCAGGTCTGAGGTCTGAGGTGTGTGTGTGTGCGTGAGTGTGTGTGTGGGGGGGGGGGGGGGGGGGTGTTTGAGTGTGCACGCATGAGTGTATATGTGTTTGCGTGTGTGTGGGGGGGGGGGGGGGAGGGGTGCATGGTGTGTGGGAAGAGGGGGGGGGGGGGGGGGGCAGTATTTCGAGGAATTCATCCCTCCTCAATTGAGCTTGAGTATGCTAATGAAATTTCTGCTCCGAGAGCCCTGAATTATGTAGTGTTCTCCGAGTCAAAACATCCCTATGGTTACCAACTTACAGTGATGCTGCGGTATGAGCGCAACAAACACTTCATGAGCATTAGGCAGCAGCGTGAGTCAGTGTCAAACATGGAAATCTGAGAACAGACGTTGAAAGTCCATTTGCCCTTCGCAACGCTGTCACCTCCAACCATCTAGTCGTATTCCGGCTCAAGCTCGACTGATGAGGGGTGAATTCCCCGAAACGCTGTGTATTGAGCAGGGAGTGGTGCTTTCTTGCAGGTTCGCTGCATGGAAGGTTCGACGGGCTTCTCATGTGCTCCAGACGCAGTCGTGAGTCAGTCAAGTGTCAAGTCAGTCGGCAGGATGCGCGAGCTCCGACGTTCGGAGAAGACCCTTTCTCCACTAATCACCGCCGATGTCGCAACATCTTTCTTTTAAAGTAAATTGAAGTTTGACATGCAGGGTACCACCGGCCTACGACTGTGTTGAGAAACACAACCAGCTTAGAGAAGTTTCGCTCATGCCCACAAGCATTCGGCCAAAGTGCTGGTTCATCG